AAAGATGAAAAAAGAAAAAAGAAATTTCCCGTTCATGTTGAAAGAAATGATCTTTTTGCAACGGCAAAAATTGATCGGACAGAGTTTTGCTTTTTTTCAAAACAAAAACTATACAATTAAAATAAGCTTTACTTTGTAGATTGTAGAGGTTTTCACGCTGCATCTTGTGGTATATTTTGTTTTTCTAATACGATGTATTAAATGGTGAAAAAATGAAATGCAAAAATGGGCCATTTATTATGGTTCACCCGTTATATAGTTAACTTTAGTAGTGAGTCAAAACTATGTCATATTTTTCTGCGTTGTTTAGTGTTGCTTATTCTTTTTTCTTGTGCATTTGTAGTAATATGATTTCACCTCTCGTATTGTTTCATGTTGCTTAGAGAGATCGTTATTGACAACATGTTCTTACTCTTTCTCGCTCGTTCTGTCTCAATCGCTCGGAAAGAGAAGAGAGCAGCAGAGTAAGTGTGGAAGAATCGAAACAGAAATACGAATAAAAGAAATACATTTTGGACTCGTGATTCTGGATCAGTAAGTGAGGATGATGGTGAAGATAAGTAAATTAAAGCGAATCTACAATAAATAGTGAACAGAAAATAACATGCAAGAACTAACCAATGAAAATAAACGTTTTGTATAATTTTTAAATTCTTAATGTTTTTTAATATTTAAAAAAAATGAATAAATGAATGAATAAAGAAAATAAATACTGAACGGAGCTAAAGAAAAAAGAACCGAGGTAATAAGAAAAAAGTAAATATGAAGTTGAGGAGTAAATTTGGAGATAAGATTGACGAAAGTGGAATAAATAAGATTCATATAGAATTTAAAATTTTAATTTAATTTAAAATTTTAATACACTACCAAAGTGATACAATCAATTTGAAGCGACGCGTTTCGAATATTAGTATGTGATCTGGTGATATAAAGCGTAGCGAGAAATGCGAATCAATGTCGAAATGCACTAGTAGATGTGACATTTGAGAAAGTGTGAACGTCAGATAATAAGTTTATGATAGAAATGAGTTAAAATAGGGTGCGGGTGTAGGTGAGTGGGTGTGGGTGTGGGTGTAGGTGAGTGGGTGTGGGTGTGGGTATCAGTATATAGTGCGCCCATAACCACATCCACACCCCACACCCCACACCCTAGAGAAACGAAGACGCTTCTACAATTTTTGATGGAAAAATTGTTTTGAGAAAAATACGAAGGGTATGAGTATAGGTGTTAATGAAGAGGAGATCCACACTTACAGCCTAAATTACGATGCTGGTGAAAATCAAAACCTATATATAAATAGTATATAATTTTTCTTAAAGTCCGACATCAGACGATAGTGCAGCAGCTGTTATTCTTAGTGAAAATTATATTCAAAAACATCTTGAAGTACAAAAAACTACTGTTGACATTATTGCAATTCAAATGGTGACTAATCTTCCATCAATATTCGATTCAAATGATTACATATGAATAGTAAAAGAAAAGAATTCTCTTACGAAAATAAATTTAAAAATAATTAGTTACGTCAGTTATGACATGACTAAATGTGCTACTGAAAAAGCTTATGCAAAAACTAGTATTAAACTAACGAGGGAACATTCCCAAGTGTCATTTTATCATGGTGACCAAGTGACTGAAAATCAAAATGTGCACTACTAGGGTGTGAGTGGGTGTGGGTGTGTCTAATCACCGAATACTCACACCCAGACACCTACATCCACACCCACATCCACACCCACACCCACACCCACACACACACACCCACCCACACATGCACACCCACACCCACATCCCACATCCACACTCACATCCCCACACCCACACCCTCCACACCCACATTCACACCCACACCCATACCCCACCCTCTTCTGGAGAGATTTCTTAAATTATTTCCATCATTATACGGAGTTTGTGACATTATTCTTTGTTAGTTCTTCGTTCTTATCGCTTTTGTTTCTGATGTTCAAAGGAATTCAACTGTGTTTCTATAGTTCATTCGCTTGTACATCTTGCACAAAGTGTTTTTTCATTCGGTCCACTATTTAGTTACAGCAAATTCAATTTTGAAAATACCATAGGTAAATATGTATTATGTAACTCGTCAGATGAAAATTTTTTCTCGTTCAACTGTTTACTGCGTACATAGAATGTTATTTGTTCATGAATAACACATATGTCTGTGTTTTCAATACGTGGAGATAATTTTAAAACTACTGATTTTTGTAAGAAAAAGTTGACAAGTACTCCAGTTTATATCCGCGTATTCATTTACTAAAATATTTGAAAATATGAAAGAGATGGACAGTATCAAATACATTATTCGTCTAAATAAATACTAAGCTACAACTCTCAGATGGGTTGTCAAACTCTATATAAATAGGAAAACATCTTTCTGTCCAACATTATTAATCAAATTTTGCATTTTCTAATAGACTAAGTGTTACCTGAATATTTACTTGAATAAAATATTATAAAAACTATCTATAAACCTGTATAAGACTCTTAAAAGTATCTGACAGATTGCTTGCATTAACTAGGAACCCTCTGAAATCGATACATGGTCCTTCGGTGATCTTAACCGAACTAATAAATAATCTTGAACTTGTTGCTCATTTGACAACTATTCTTCAGCAATCAGTGTTTCATCCGAAAATTGCATTAATGATACAGCAATTTCTCGCTTCGAAGACGTGTACTGTTCCAACATTCAAAAATCAGAATAATAAATCTCGTCTTGGTATGGCAACACCTGTTCTATTTTCTCATGTACTTTCGTACGTTAATGCTACTTATGGTGAACAACAATACGTGCATCATTGCTTGTATTTTCATAATGGTATACCATTCAGGGTACATCGTTCAGATACCTGTCAAGTGGATGATTCTGCTGTGATATATTCCGATCATTCAAGCGTACTTTATATCGGTGTAATCGTTTGGATCATTCGATTGAAAAGAAACGATCAAGTGTTATTTATTATTGATAAATCAAAAACCCATGGTTGTGATGCTTTTTCGATTGATGGCATACAATATATCAACGACTTTTCTATTGATGCTACTATTACTGTACCGCGAGAGACTATCTTCATAAGTTTTGACTTGATTAAACAAAAAGTTGCATATCGGGTCAACGAAAATACGAATACCATTTGTGGATTTCAAATATTTCCTAATCTTTTAGAATTCACTTAAATATTATTTTCAACTTTTTAACTCTCATCTATTTTATATTATAAATAAAACATTGGATTATTCTATTCGTATGCTTTTCTTTTTATTATATTAAAGTAAACCCCTCCCCATAATAGAAGCCCCTCCCATATTAGAAGCCCCCCCTTATTAGAAGCCCCCTCTGAGATGAACAACGTGTTTGACGTATTAGAAGCCCCCCTAATTTTTCGAAAAAATTTTAAAATTTTCAAGATTTTTTTTCGCATTTTCATGCTAAAACTGCTAAAATTTTTCGATTTTCAGGTAAAAAGTTGGCTGACTCTTATCTAGCTTAGCTAACATCTGAAAATAATGTCAAAAATCTTCTGGAAAACTCATAAAAACCTTGAAAGTCGCTAAAAACCCTTGCGAACCCTTTTTCCTGGCAGTTTACGAAATTTTTTTGAGACTTAATAGAAGCCCCCTGCAGAAGCTTCATATGATAGACATATTAGAAGCCCCCCCGGGGGCTTCTAATATGGGGAGGGGTTTAAGATTATTTAAATTTATATTTTTGTCTTATAATCCTGCATGTTATAAGAGGTTTTGATAACGACAATACAACAAACTATTAATGAATCTACTTTGTAAGCAGATAAGAATCGAGCATAAGTTTGAACAAGTACTATTTCATGAATTAGATTCAATGAAAATCAATGAAAACGCTATGAAATAGAAGCTATCATATATGAGGAAAATAAAATTTATAAAACTATGTTTAAAATATTCTTTTCTGTATTAAAATTTATAAATAAGTTCTCATCTAGTCAGATATTAGTTCAAATATCAATACCTGGTCGCATGCAGTACAAATACGAAACATCCTGTCTTGAAATTTGCTATCTATATTTTAACTTTCATGAGAAAATATACAAACATAAAAAAAAAAACTTAATTTTGTTAAGTAAGTGAATTATAGTGTACAGAAGATGCAAGTAATAACCTAGTTTCAAAGGAAAACAATAAGTCAAGTTATCTTTAACATAGAACTGTATCAAAATATATTTAGACCTGTTAACGCGTTTAAACTCGTAAAAGCAATAGCGAAACCAACAGAAAAACGCGTATATTTTGAAAAACTTACTAGTTTTAACAGTTTACACATAGGCTATGTGTTTTAACACGTTTGAAAATTGCATAATAATGCCATTTAAACGCTGTTATTATAGAACCCTAACGTGTTTAAACGCATTACTTTTTAACGTTTGTCTGCCTTGGTAGGACCTAAAATTTTGGGGTTAGTCGTTTCAGACATTGATGCGTTGAATAAGCAAAACAAAATCTAAAAATCATTTTTTATTGAGTGTCTTGTAAACTTTGTGTGGAAGTAAACTTCGGAAAAATAAATGTCACCATTGCCATGCCCGTAGTCTTAGTTTCTAAGAAGGATAAGAGCTTTTTTTTCAGAGCGAGAAAATTTTTAGGAATATGAGCTTTTTTGGATGACTCTGGTAAAAGGGATCCTTTTGAGTGAGGGCGTCACCTGTGGATAGCCTGTATTGCTTTTTCTGCTTGAAAATCTCGTTACTACTCATATGTCCTCCGTGAATAATTACATACTTTTTTCAATATTTAAGTCAGCACTAAATCATTCAACCTATAAAAAATCACTCAAATTTATTAGATGATATCAAACGTCATCTACAAATAACTCCCTTTCATTTCATTTATTGTAAATAATGAGTTATGTTATGACAGAAGAAAAGAAATAAGAAGAAGAAGAAACAGGGTCATGTCTTACATTTTTTTTCACCTGTTTTTCATATCAAGCTTCACCTTAAACAGAATGTCTTCATATCAAACAGCTCGTAAGTGTTTTTTTACATAATAAGTATTCTTATTGAAATTTATTTTCGTTTAGCATATACACATTTCCATGAACTAGTCGATACATGGACTAAACATGCACAAGCCATTGAAACACAAGGTATACAAGAAAACATGAAAAATTTTAATAAAATCTTTTCTATTAATTTTTAGTAAAAAATCTATCTGAGAAAGCACGTGTACTTGGTACTTCATCAGATACACCAGAAATTCGCTCAAGATTGTAAAAAAAAGATTGATTTAAAAAAATATATAAAATAAATTTTTTTTGCTTTTTCTATCATAAGAGATGAAGATGTACGCCGTCTTCATAATCTTGCAACAAACACAAAAACTGTATTAAAAGAATTAGCTGATGAAATGACAAAAAGAAGAAAAGAATTATCACGAGTAATTTTTTCAATCAAATCATTGTTTTGTCTTTTTTGCAATTAAAATTTTGTAGAATGATTTAGTTATGGTAACAAAAATAAAAACTGATATGATTAATGCATTGAAAAATTATGAAGATGTTATTACAGTAAAATCTCTTGTTTTATTTTAAATAAAATTTGTAATCATTAATGAAAAATAGAATGTTTGCAAAGGACGTCAACAATATCAGCCTACAAGTAATGATACACTAATCGATTGGGAAAATGCAGTAAAAGAAAAAAAAGAAATTAATTAATAAATTATTATAACTTTCTTGTTTTTTCTTGCTTAACATAGAATCTTAGTGAAGATGATGTTCATCGACGTTTACAATTACAGTAAATAAAACTTAAAAAGACAATGATGTTAGATTTTCTTTTTGTTTAATGCTTAATTATTTAGACAACAAATGAAAATGAATAATAATTTATTAATTAAACAGAATGAAGAACAGTTTGCTTTCGAAGAACAAGTGCAACTTGGACAGGTAAGAATATCAATATAAAATCAATCATTTACATGCTATTTGCGAGATTCTTTTGAAAAATATCTTTCGTTACGGTTCTATTAGTTCTTTTTCCACATGTCAATCTCAATAACTCGACAACGATAGCAAATGGTGATCTGCGGTATTCAAAAATCGAAAGAGGAGTTTCTGATACAATACCAGACAAAGTTATTTTAAAATCCAACATATTCGAAAAACATTTAAAAAGCCGGTGCTTCGTTTCAAGAAAGTTTTGGGAACAAGTCAGAAAATTGGCTAAAAGCTAACAAAATTCTATATAACTTGACCGAATAGATACGCCGTTTCATTTACTCAACATTGAAATATGAGGAAAAAATTTATGCATGTAGTTATTCTGAGGGTGTGGGTGTTCAGCAGCTCTTAATCCATATCCACACCCACACCCACCCAAAACCTTGATCTCGTAGATCTTTAGTCTCGATGATTACACATCAGATGAAACGATAAAAAAAAGAAAGAATAAGGACAACAAGAATACATATTGAAGAAAAACAAAATCTATTACTATCATCGAAGAAAAATCAAGTATTGTTGTTACTATCAGATTATGTAAAGAGAATATTTCTTGAAGCTCTTCATAAGGATTCAAAATACTTTTGCGACTACTTTTGATATGCCCTAAGTAGATAACTCAACTTCGATTATCAAAATTGATTGAAGTAAATTTTTGGATGCAATTAATTAACTAATATATATTGTGTGGTATAATTCAACTCCATGAAATACCAGTAGATGGTTGACGAATAAGACTACTGATATAAAATATTACTATACTTATTCTAAAGTAAGTGGCTATGTAAAAACATAGTCATTAAATTAACGGTACTTTTTTTTCTGTTTTTACCCATTTCAAGAGCTATAGTTTGTGAGAGAGAAGAAATAGAATAAAAGAATATAGCTTCCTTCTCTTCTTTCATTTATTCTTGCATCATATTGATTGTCATTTCGTAAGAATAACGGGAACGGGTTAGTTAAGTTTAGTTTTGTGCTTTTTTGGGATTGTGACGTTAGTATTGCAGTGGATAGAATCCGTGTATAGTTTGAACGAGTTCTTTGTTTCTGCATTCATGTCATGCATATTCTGGACGATTTAGTGTGAACAAAGAAAGAAGAATCGTTTAGTTTGCCTCACTTTTTTTCCAAATACCGTTTTCAAGAGCGGTGGTTTGAAAAAGAAGAAAAAACTTTTTTTCTGAGTGTTGGTATAGGAAGGTTTATTGTGTAACAGAAACGTAGGGCTACTCGCCGTTGCAGTATCTTTTTTGTTGATTTTATTTCTCAGGTTCAGCTATTGCTGTTTATTCGAGACGTTCCGTGGGCAGGAGAGGCACGCGAACGATAGAGTCTTATTGGCACGCGTCCTTTTCTACTCCCCCTTATATACGTTTATGTTGCTTGATTGTGAACTGACGTTCGACGTGTGATTTTTTATTGGTGGGCTCCACATCTATAGCGCTATTGCAGAAATTGTTCATGCAATAGTGCTGTGACGTTGGAGAAATGATTTTTGTAATCACAAGTGTTTCATCACGTGTATTTTTTTCGAGAAAGTGATATTTTTACTGTTCTTAGATCATAAGTGATTTACTCGTTATTTGGAAATATTCTAGAGAAAAATGGCTACATCTGGATCACTTGCTTCATTGGTGGACCGTGTAGTTACTAGTGTGAACGACAGCTTCGTTTCGGCTGGTGAAGCAGTTCGTGAATTAATTGGTGCGGACATTAATTCCGAACTGACAACACATCAGGTCCATCGGATTATGCATGCGTCGTTGCAAGATCAAGACACTAATAAATATGCAATTTTCGTCTGGCGGTTAAGGCGGGTGGAGGGTATAAACCAGTTATGGGGTAATAATCAACGGTGGTCTGTTGAATTCTTCAAGAAATATCAACATTTGATTACTGATGGTCAACTGGCCGAAAAGTTTGTTGAACAGTATAATATCATGTAACATCAGTAAAAAAAGAATAAAATATTAACTGACTGGGAAAAGGTGGAAAGCTTTTTTCTAAGTAGTGCGAAAGATATTGTGTCTATCGTTCTTTTTGTGTTTCTTCTAATTTCAAATAAATAGTTGAAAAAAGGCACCTTCGGTCTTGTTTAAATACGTATTCAAGTTGACCAAGAATGAAATGATGTAGCATTTAAGATGAAAAAATATTTCAATTTTTCCTGGAGTGTGATTATGGATGTCGATCGGAATATTCTGTTTGCCCACATATGCACACATCCATACTCGGTCTTTATCGTCATGACGATACCTTTATGGACTAAACCGAACTAAAAATATGATTAAAAATGTTTCACAGCTTATTGAAACACCTGAGATGTTAATTAAGAGATAATCCAGTGGTCTTATCAATATCCACACCCTAATTGTTTTTAATTTTCACTGCATAACAAATGAAGAAGAAATTCAAAATTAATCTTTTAATGACTTTCTGATTTTGCTTCACTCCATTGCTCCTTCATAGATTAAGAGTGCTACATTACTATTAATGATAAAAGGTGATAGCATGTAAGGTTATCACTTAGTGTCGGTATTTAGAAATAATTTGCAAAAGTAATAAAATTAACAAAGTAAAAATGTTATAAATTAATAAAGTGTTAAAATTAGTAAGCCATAACCAGTATCCAACTACTTATTTTGTAAACTGTTGTTCGTTTGTTCTAGGTTGAAATTTTTGTTATAATACATGATTGAATAGAACAACTTGCGCTCTGTGTGATACCCATAATATTTATTTTATTTTATTGTTCAATACACCGTTGAGCAAGCGCAGGATAAGTCTGATTAGATATTCCATTTGAAAAGAAACTTCATGCTGAAAAATTGTTTTATTTGTCTACTATGTAAACATCAATCATGGATAGGTATTCTTGCACTCTCTTATCCATACATTGAAGAAGGTAAAAATTGTTTGAACAGTGTGGATTTATAGAGTATCTTTTTCCGTACGAAACTCTAATATTTGAAAGTAGAATGAATTCTATCGCTTCAGTTGTGTACCTGTGTTATTTCTGGTATTCATAACGTAATAAAAATAAAATGCTTAAGATATATAATTCGTTTTGATTCAAAATAGTTATAAGAGTTTTGTATTGAAAACAAATCCTAACACAACACATTCATGCTGTTAAAACAACTTTTAGTTTCTTCGAGGCATAAATATGACAATAAAAGACCGTTTATCTGCGTAGTATAGTTATTGATTCTTTGTTTCTGAGGTCATTGCAAAACAAAACTCGTAAAGGACTACATCAATGTAATACGAAACGATCTCAATTTTCTGTAATAGGATTTGAAGTAACATAAGCACGATAAATGGTTTCATCTAGAGTCGATCCTGTTCTCAATAATTAACTGGAGACTAGTTCATCACTTTCAATTATCTCAGATGAACGGCAATTCATATTGAAGATTCAAAAGTCTTTGTTTGTATTATCTTGACGCTAATAATTTAAGATAATTTTAACAAAGAAAATCCCATTTAGCATTGATGTATCAACACATAAATGCAATTATTTTTTTTTGTTTTCGATAATTAGATCCTTGCACTGCTGATATGTCAACATTAAATTCATTAAAATTCTATTCTATATAGTGATGATGATGAACATGAATAAAAAGAAAAAAAAATAAATAGACGAGTACTTTTAAAGAAATAAAAAAAACAACATTTCACATATATAAGACAAAAAAAAACCAAACAAAGGAGAAAAAAGAAAGAAATTTCATTGAATAAAAAAAAAGAAAAGACAGCATAGGAAATAAAATTACCTAATAAACCAACAATGGAGATTAAGGTTAGAAACTAGATTGTTTCGTTATTTGTTTTTCTTTTTACGAAGGAAACTCGCGAAGGATATTATTATTATACATTATTGCTAACAGAGCAGGACAATACATGCATACACGAACTGTGACTATCAAGAACACAATCAAACAAAAGACATTAGAAAAAAAAAAAAACAACAACTGTTCGAAGCGATGATGGCAAATAGAGTGGGTATGAGTATAAAGTTTTTTTTTTTTTAATATATTTCTTAAATAATAAGAGCAGCAGCACCAATACACAAATAATAATAAAAGAGGAATTCGTGATCAAATGTTTAAATAAACTTATCGTTGTACAGATATAACACGAAGCATTAATAATTGTCTTTCACCATCTTTGTCACCAATAGCAACTATTGTTCGATTGTGTGCAGCCATATGTATATCAATTGGTGTCATACCAATTGGCATTGTTGATGCTATTTGTCCTGTTTGTAAACGCCATAAACATATATTTTGATCTTTTGAGCCTGTTGCAACTAATTGATTAGTTGATATACATGAACATGTAATCTAAAAAAAAAATTAAATTGTTTTTCCTTTTTTGTGTTTTTTTAAATTGTTTTTTTTTTTTACTTCTCGTTTATGTCCAATTAATTTTGAAATAAGTTCTTTTGAATTAGCATCCCAAACTTTTGCTGTACCATCAGCACTTGTCGATACTAAACATGTACGATCAGGTGATAATTTTAAATCTGTTATACGATCACGATGTGCATTTTGTCCATTATCATTTAATGTATGTAAACGTTGACATGTTGGTATATCCCAAAGTATTAATTGTCCTGTTTTTGTTCCAGTTAAATTTTGTTCATTATTTAAAACAATTGAACATTTTGGATCTGATTCTAATGTTATTGTTGGTGGTTGAATTAATTCTTGTTGTGTTGTTAAATCAAATACAACATAATTTGTTGATGTTGGTCCTGATGGACAACCAACAATAGCATAACGTTCATCAGGTGTTAATGTTATAAATGAAGGTGTACCACCATAGGATTGATTTGTATCAGATTTGATTTCTTTTGTTAATTCAGAATTATTTAAATCAAGTATACCAACTGATATACCACGTCCATATTTTTGATTACCAGCCATAATAAGATTATTTGAATTATTACTTAATGTAAATGTTGCACATTTTATTTGATGTGTTAATTGTACTGGTTTACCAGTATTAACATCCCATATCTAGAATAGAAAGACAAAGAAATATTTTTTTTTTCTTTTGATATTTATCTATTTTAAATAAAACATACTTGAAGTACACATGGTTGTGCATCAATACCATCACTTGCTAAACCAACTAATAGTGTACCACTACATGCTAATGCAACTTTACTACAATTTGAACTTGTTCCTTGCATACTTGAAACAAGTTGTCCACTCTAAAGAATAAAACAAAAAATTTTTTTTCTCCTTCTGATTTTGATCGTCAGTTTTCGTTTATATTAATCAACTGGCTCATTTTTAAACTCTCAGATTATTTCATCTATTCCTTATTTTAATACATGAAAAAATAGAAAAATTTTCTCTTACAACAGCATCCCATATTTGTGGTGGTCCTTGACTTTGTCCAACAATAGCATATTTTCCATTTGGTGTCATACTAATTGAATTAATATTACTTAATTCATAATCTGTTTGTAGACCACCATCAGCAAACATAGCATTCATAGAATAACCACCACCTGTACCTTCCCAAGAATCAAATGTATCACGATAACCTTCCATAGCAGCACCACCACCACGACCATAACCAAAATCACCAACAGGTGGTGCATGATAATCTGTTTCAATTACATGTTCTATAAGTTAAATAGAGAAAAAAAAATAATATAAGAAAAAATAACATTTAATCGAAATTTAAATCAATAGTAACATGCAATTAAATGAAAATAAAAAGTTACAAAACAACAATCATATTCATGCATATTCCTACGTTGAGAATAAGCTGATGATGATTGTTGTTGATGTGCATCACGTGCAAAATCACCATAACGTGATGACATTGTTGGATAATTAGTAAAAACACCACCTGCAGTATCCATACCGCCATATTCTCTAACAATTTCTGTAATGTGATAAACATTACATTTTCTATTGAATTTTTTATTCTGGAATTTTTTTTTGTATTTCTTAATACTTACCACGTGTTTGTTCAATACGTGTTGTTTCCATTCCACCTGATGATGCAGCTGCAGCTGTTGCAGCTAAATTATCACCACGTTGATCAACTAATTGAAGATCACGTGTTGCACGATTATCAGGACCTGTATAAAGTGCTAAACACGAAAAAAAAAAAATTTATCTGAAAATTTCAAAACTTAAAAATTTTACCATTTTCAGTTTGTGTTACACCTGATGTGCCTGTTAATACTGGTACATAACCAGATCGACCACCACCACCTGGTAAACATGCACCTTGTGTACATTTACGTGCAGCAAATGCAAGTGCAAGTGGCAATAATAATAAACCAGAAACAATAGCTAATATCCAACCAATAGGACCAGCACGACCACCTAATAGACGACCATAATCAATTAGTTGACCTTTCTTTGCACCAATAACTGCACCAGTTTGAGCTGCTAATGGTATACGAAGAGTTGTTACTACAGCGATAGGTACTGGTGGAGGTGTTGCAACTAATATTCAAAGGAGAAAAAAAATAATGTTTTTTTTTTTAGTCATTTAACAAATTTGCTTTTCTCATACTTGGTGTGTCACAATAATATCCTGTATAACCTTCTATACATGAACAACGACCTTCATAACATGAACCATGATAACAATTAATACCAGCACAAAGATCAGCTAAAATTTACCAAAAAGAAATCATTTTCTTTTTATATTTGAACATAAAAGAGAAAGCTTACGTGGTACATCACATCGTGTTCCTGAATAACCTGAATGACATTCACAAATTCCTTCTCGACAATATCCATAAGTACAATGAACATTATCACATGGATTTGGTCGATGAACTAAATATATTCAAAATTATTTTATTTTAGTTGTTGTTGTTGTTGCTTACTTTCTCGACAATCATCACCATAATATGGTGATGAACAAATACAACGTCGACTATTGCCTTCTGGAACACATTGTCCACTATTTGCACACGGATACATTGTACATATATCCTCTTTAAAAAAAAAAAAACATAAATTCTTTTTTCTTTTTCTTATTACGAAATTCAAATAAAACAACCTTGACAATGACTTCCAACACGTCCAATTGGACAAATACAACGAGCTACGCCTCGATCATTCGTACAAGTACCACTAGAGCAATCGTACCGTACACATGGATCAACTATAATAGAAAAAAATAAACATAGTTAATATGAAGGTTAACATATCAAGAGATTTTCAATTAGAACAATCGGTTAAATAAACACAAGCCAAACTGTCATGCAAGAAATGAAACAAAAAAGAAAACATCAAAGCCCGACAAAAAAAAAAAAAAAAAAATAAAACTTTCATTTTGTTAAATAGTAATAATAATAACAAACAATACATTCTTATGTATTGTAATTATTATGCTTGATAAATATTAATGCATTGTATAAATAACAAAAAATTATATATAAAAGAAGAAGCTCATTCTTTAACTGCCATTAGAGAGCTGCTCATCAACTGTCTACTCACTATAAACTTCAACTCTTAGTTCTTCCAAACACATGACACCTGTATATCCAGGTAAACAAACACAATAGGCTGTGCCATCGTTTGGATTAATAGAACATTGTCCATAATTACAATTGACATTGTCACAAACGTCTGTATAGAATGATGAAGGTAATCAAGTAATAACAAAGAAAAAGATAAAAAATCAAAACAAAAACAAAACAATAGAAATAAATCGTATTTTAAGACAACATGCATTCTTTTGTTGTTTTTTGCAAAAATAGATTCTTTCTAATCTTGCTTTTTTTTTTTTGCTTCTTTTGTCTGTGATAAAATAACACAGCATACACATAATCAAAACGTTCGTTTAAACATTCATATATATATATGTATTTACGCACATACCGTCAGATTCATAACAATTCGGCCCTCGATAACCATGTGCACATCGACACATAGGTTGATTCTCCTGTTGTATATGGCATACACCTCCATTGTAACAAACAAAATTTGAGCATGGATCTATTTGTCGATCACATGCTGAACCTTCATAACCTCGATGACATTCGCATCTATATGATGCACCTTCATTGATACAAGTACCATGATTGCATGAAACTCGAGCACATGCGTCTTTATTGATAGAGAAAGAAACATAAAATAAAATAAAATAAATATATTGTTGCTGAATCTAATTATTATTAGATTTCCGTTTTCCTTTCAAGAAACTTATTCACTACTAATAAACTATAATAATAGCTAAATATTGAAAAAGAAAAAATAAACTAGAAAATTTCTTACCCACAGGTGTAAGACAATCATGTCCAGTATAACCTTGATAACATCGACATACAGCTACACTACGATCGATTTCACATCGACCATGATTACAATTAACTCGTGCGCATGGATCTAAAGAAAATAAATAAATATTAAATTCAATCAGATTGATTTTTATCAAAGCGTTTAAATCAAAGATGATTAAAAAAGTAATCATTGTTCATATTTGAAGTTCATTTAAAGTAAATTTTAATTTCATCTTGAAAATTCATATTTCTATTACTTTTTTGTCATATACATGTATATTTAAAATCAATAATCACACATCTATTCCATTATGCAAATTGAAAAGTAGTGACCAGTTCAATTATAAAGAGCAAGAGAGTGCAAGCAAATAGACATTTGACTATATGAACATACGTGTATGTATGCTACTCATGTGTGCATAAGCGCTCATTTTCTTTTTTTTTTTTCTTCTACTCTTTCGGTATGCATATGTCCATGTTCAATCATCAAAAAAAGAAAAATTTGCATAATGTATGTATAGTCTTTTCTAAACATCTATGCATATAGTACGAATTTAATATGATGTAAAATGATTGAAGACAACGACTATTTATCACCTTGAATATAATACTGAATGTAGTAGTAGTAGTATCTAAGGAAGACGAACGAGTGATGATCGTTGTGCATAGATAAACAATTCTCTCTTTTCTTTTTTTTCTTCATCTGGATGATAATAACAATATGAACAGAAATAGCATTATCATCAAGAAAAGAATTATGCAAGACTTGCACAACATATTCTATTTTGGTTATTGATCATGCTCGTTTCCTTAATCCACTCATGTATGCAAGATAGTTAGCCTATGAAATATCCAACAGGCAATTATAAATTCTTTACAATTCAGATGAATAAAAAAAAAGAAAACGTCTATGTCTATCTTGTTTGCATTCCATCATAATAATCAATATTTCTACTACTAGTCTATTTCTAACATTTATGAATCTGATTATTGTTGCTTTTGTCGTTCGTTGTTGTTTTTTCAAATTCTTTCTTTTGCTATCGGCGACATATTTGTGTAATACGCAAAAAAAAAGACAAGAGAGGATAGAATCAGATTGACCGCAACTTATACAAAGAGAGTGATTGATGTCTGTCCCAGAGCATTTGTATGTTGGCGCACACACGCGTATACGCGTGTGTCGATGAAATATGTGTCTCAATTTTCTTGTCTTCTTTTTTTTTCTTCGTCGTTGTCTTTGTGTCTTTCTTTTTTTTTTTTTTTTCTATACTCTACTCTACTCGCTAATGGAAGTCGGTTGTGGATGATTGTTGCGTCACCTCTAACTGAGTAAAAGCAAACGAACGCCAAAAAGAAAAAGAAAAACTACTGCTACTATTGAACGTGCGTGCTCTTTTGTTACACACCGATTTGGGTTTCACACCGTGAGCCACCATAGCCCTCATAACACGAACAATACGGTTGATTATTACGATCTTTTTGACAAGTTCCGTGATTGCACTGATAATTTACACAAGGATCCGTTGAAACTAAAATTAAGAAAAAAAAAACAACAATAATCATTTTTTAATATATTTTAAATAGAAGAAAAAAAAATCCTTGACCTCAAAAAGAAAAGCTAACTTTTTTACTTTGACATATGACCAAAATGTAAGAAATAGTCCATTGATAAAACATGCAATTCTCAAAATAGTTTGATCTATTTGTTGCTCAAGGTTTTCATTATCAGTTTCTACATCGTTACATTATCAATAATAAATGGCATATAGCCAACAGGAATTTTTCAATGAGAATATAAAGAATAGTAGAACATCTTCTTTTCTTTTTTTTTATGTATCTTACGTGGTTGTTCACAACGATATCCTGTATATTGAGCAGGACAATGACAATAAGCTAAAGCTGTTGTTGTTGCTGGTTGAATACAATAACCACCATTTAAACAATTGATTCTTTCACATGGTGTCCCTAGAGTCAAAAATATGTATATATATATATGTATATATGTACATTATGAAGTCAAATTTCTTTTTATAAAAAACAAATATATCTTAAGAAATTAAGCAAATAAATGAGAAAACAATATGATATAACTTACAACAACCAAGATAGCATGGTACAGATCCTACTGATCGTCCTTCATATTGAGATGATGGTGGTGGAGGAGGAGGAGGTGCAGCTTCGATAATAGTTATTATCAATAGTAACAGTATGAAGGCTTTCATGGTATATAATATATTCAGTGTAACAAATACAACAAAAAATGTTGAAAAAACCAACGTGTGATTGTATGTCGAAGGAATGAATCACATCATCATAAACGACAAACGCCGAATATATATATATATATTTTTTTTTTTTCTTTTTCTCCTGCGTTCTTTTTTCCTGCCTTCTTTTGTGGTTTTTAGTATAAAGCGATGAGTAAAGTGGATGTCGTTGAATGTGGCTTTTTGTATTTCAAGAATCAAACAACGTCAATAATGATTGTGATGGTAAATGGTATAAAGTTAAAAGAGGAAAGAAAGTCTTTTGCCAATAATAATTCAGAGATGCGACGAACGGCGCCGGTTGATGATGGTGAATATCGTTCGGACTCGTATTTTTCCCCCTTCTTCTTCTTCTTCTTCTTCTTCTTCTTTTTCTTTTTCTTCCCAATGTAATGGTAATGGGCAAATGCAAAGGAAAAAAGCAACAGAAAGAATAACGTAAGATGCAAACAAACACTAAACCGCAAAACGACGACGAAGACGACGTTGATGGCAGAGAAAGAGAAATATATATATATATATATATATACGGAGAAAAATCTACGATGAATGAGTAACACAGAGAGAAAATATGTGAGAATAGAGTAGTATAATAATATCTTGTATTAGTAAGAACAACAACATAAACCAGATGAAGGAAGATTCTTTATTAACGTCATCTCAACTGCATTCTATCGCTTTCTCTCTCTTTCGGTGCTAGTAATACTGAGCCTACAAAATCGTTGTCGTCCGCTTCTTATTTTTTTTCCTCTTCGACTCTGCTATGAATATATATATATTGACTATGCGTTCGCACACACGTACTAACGGAAAGGAGAAGCAATAGACAGAAAAAGAGAGAGAGAGCGAGAGTAAAGAAACAAAAAAAGCTTCTTATTAACATAAAAAAAGCACACCAACCACACAAAGAACGATTGTGTATGTGTGCGCGCGCTCGTTCGACTTCGGATGTTACTAGTAGTAGTAGTAATAATTGATGCAGAAAAAAAGACGAGAGAGAGAGAAATATATCCAAAAAGAAAAATGGATTTGACGTTCGTGCAGCAACAGAAAAAAGGGTTTGTCAAGATGAAATATTTATCTATATCTCGTGATTCAGTTTCTTTTTTTCTTCTTCCTGTTCTTTTCAACTAATAAATTATCATTATTTTTTGTAAAAAAAAATTAAACTTCAACCACCAAAAATTTTAGACCATCTACCCAAGCAGAATAGAAGATTACCGATCCAATAAAAAGAAATGGAAGCTGATCCGAAATACGATGATGCAAGAGAATATTATATATATATAGGCTTCCGTCTAGAGCACGTATCATCTTTTTTTTATGCTAATTGACTATGGGTATATATATATATATTACATATGAGTCTCAATGATGACTGTATGCGAACGCAAGCATCAATTGGATAAAAAAAAAATATGCGACTCGTTAGTCATTTCGAGATAATATGATTTCACCTTAGGTAATGTACATCAATATGAATGATCGATGGTTGACGGACAGATCTATATCTACATAGTTCATTGTCTTTCTAATAAATATAAATAATAAATACTCATTTAACTTACGTTCGGGTATAGCAGCACGATTATTCCAACCAACACTTGGATCATAATCGATTAAAGATGGATTATGAATACAATTTTGTATTAAATTTTCACGACGATTATCCGATACAAGAATAATCTATTTTAATATTACAAAAAAAAATAAAAATAAATTCTTTTTTTTCTTAATATTTACATCTTGAACATAGCCATAAAAATTTGTTCCACATATATGAATTTTTCTATCACCAAATAAACTAAAATATCCAGTTAGATTTGTGTAACGTCGAGTTTCATAATCAAACGTCAAATCAAGCTATTAAGATAAAAATAGAACGATAAAAAATGTTTGTTATCGAAATGATTAATCGTATACTGTATTAGATGTTTTTTGACAATGTAATGTATGCCATTGATCACCTCGTACACGACTAGGAAAATCATATGTATATATAGCAGCACCATTTTGAATTATTAAACGTGGATAATAATTCTTAAAATAGAAAAGAAAAAAGAAAAAAAAATTAATTTCATTTCAAGTATATAGCTATATAACATTTTTATCTTTATAATTTACTTGAAGAACAATTGAAACTTGTATAGAACCATCACGCGATATATATAATGTTGAATTTGCTGATGTTGTAAAAATCGTTAAATCAATCTGTTCATTTTGACCAGGTCCAACTTGAGTAATATAACGTACTAAACCTGTATTACCCATATCAACAGCTGTTGGAGCACAAACCATTGAACAATCAGTTTGACCACAAAATGGTAACGGTCGAATATTCTGATGACATGGAATTTGTCGATCACACATCATTCCCTGTTGATAAAAACAATCATAACGATCAGCTTTAAGCACACCTTCAGGTAATAATGGATGCCGATTATATGTAACATTAGCAAAACAACCAACAAATGGTTGATTTGTTGTATCAGGCATTAAACGATATGAACTACCAATAGTAACAACATCAAAAAACATTGGTGAACGTTCTGGTATTGATACAGGTGTTGTACGTTTATCAATTTGTATATACATATTATCATTTGAATATGTTTCAGGTACTTGTCGTGTAACTAATATACGATGTTGTTTACCATCATTTATTGTTTGATTATCATTAAATAGAATTTGTGATGTTTTATTAAATGGTGAATAATATTTTAATTGTAATTTACCATCTTTTAAACAAAGAACTAAACCACGTTGATCATCATTTGAATACATTGATGTTATCACACCATTTGATGATAGAGTTTTTATTGGCATTTGACAATAACGAAATTCATCATTTGATTGAACTTGAAGTTCAATTATATCACGACGGTCACGCATTGAAAAACTTATATCAGGTGATACATATGATACAACATTTTTACCTATACATACATGTAATAACAAATATTAATTGGTAAAAAAAAAATTTTCTCGTCAATGATATTTTGTTTTTGTTTTTATAGATATATATGTGAATGATTATTTATTAAAGATTGAACAAAAGAAAGTGTCTTTTTTTCTTATTGCCTTCGATTGCGATCAAGGACTTCAGCTACGAGGAAAATAAGATTATTCAATCAATTAAAGTTTATGTTCTTAGGAAATAAAAAAATTGCCTATTTTTTTTTTCTACAAAGTACATTGTAATTCATTAATTTGATTATTGAATTTCCGCTTTCTATTAATTGGTTCAAAATTTCTGAATATATATATATAAAATAATATTTCGTGGTATTGTACAGCGTGAAATTACCTTTTTTTTCTTTCTCCTTATATTTCCTATTGCATAGCTTGATTGATTAATTATTTATACATATATTTTTTTTTTATTTGATTTACTCTATGTCTAGAATTGCCAGACAATCGAAATAATTGTGAATTTTTGATGAAACTTGAGAGTAACAGTTGTGCTTTTATAATGGCAAAAAAAAAAAGAATTTGTCCTTCGATAAATAGTACTTGAATATTATTGATAGGAGAATCTATTAGATTCATTAACTTAGAACCACATGCATTCTTGCACTTAGACTTGTATATTCGATATGATGAACTAGTCTCTTAACAAAAAAAAAAAAAAAACAAACAAACGATTTTGAAATGAGTCTATACAAGCTAACAATTAAATATTTTGAATATATCTTAGTTTCATTATTACACTCTCGAAAGTTTACAGTATAAAAATCAATGAATCTGATAAAATTGTGATTACTCAAGGGAAATAATTTTATAAGAAAAAGCAAAAAAAAGTAATCAGCAAATATTTTTAATCGATATACATCATATTGACTATTTTAAATTGTCCAATCAATAAATATTAGTTGTCAAAAGAAATAAAAAAAAAAAAAAAGGTATCTCCATAATTATCAGGTGAATATGAAAAACATATGTACTGTATCATTAAAAAATAATTATATGGTTGAAATTTGAAGATAATATAAACAGATAGTATACAGTATGTTATTCAGTATGAAGGCGGTGACTTTCTCAAGATCGAGTTAGGCCTTTTCAGAAGATTACAATCTGGATGAAATATTATTCGTTTATATAAATTAGTTTATGTTGAGACTAGTGTGGGTGTGGAAATCAATTTTTTTTGGCTTCGATTAATCTTGTATATTTCTATGTGCGACAAAAAAATGACTTTGAAAAAACCTTGAAACTTACGTCCACGTTTTGATAATTGACATGTATTAGTTAATCTTCCAATATGATGTATATGATCTAATTTAACAATTGATTTATCATTTAACATAATATCTTTAAGACATCCAATAAAATTATCACCATCTAAATCTGAATATTTTTCTTTTATATAACTATCTAATTGTCCAATATAAATTGTATGAATACGTAAATTAGTATGAAATTTTTTTGTCATTATAATTCCATCAATTTCAAATATAATATCATCTTTATTAAGTAATTTTAATACTAATCTATGTTCACGTCCATCATTAATTAATATTGAATTATTGATAAAAATTTTTATACGTTTTTTTTGTTTATCATCATATGTTAATAATAAACGTTCATTATAAATACTTAATGTTATAAAATTTTCATGAGTTTTATCAGCTAATGAACAAATAATACTATTAAAATCTTGAGTATAAAAAGAAAAAGAAAATGTACGAAAATCTTCTGGAGTATCAAGTTTAATAATCAATGGACGATCATATTCTTTAAATGAAATAATTTGATCAATATAAATATTATTGAAAGATAAAATTTCCATAGATTTTAAAGCAATACTACTCGATGGACATTGTTGTCTATTTAAAGATAAATGTTTAAATGATAATAATTGATCATTATATGTAATATTTTGTAAACAACCAATAAATTGACTACGTGGACCAAATATAAAATTTTCAACAATTAATTTTGTTGTTAAAAGTTCAATTGAAATTTTATTTGGTTTAAAATTTTTATTTTTAATTATCCATGCATCAAGATTTTTATCTATACGTTGTAAATAAACAGTATATAAATTTCCATCATTAATTGGTTTTTGTTCATCATTAATTAATATTCGTTGTGCTTGTCTATCACGTATAACTAATGCTAAATAACCATCAACATCAATATTTAAACTAATTTGTTCAAATTCTATAAGTGTACTAACATTTGAACGTGTACGAAATGAAAATATAAATGTATTAAATGCTGTATTTATAGGTGATGATATAATTATTTCACTATTATCATTTGGAAGAAAACCAATTGTTTGACTTATTTCTGATGATTTCATATCAACAACAACAAATATTTTATCATTAGATGATGATAATGATGATATAATAGGTGTTGTTAAATCTTTAGAATTTTCATCATTCTCATCTGTTAAATCTTCTTCACGAAGATTTATTGATTGTCCTGAATTTGTTACTAGAATCTAAATATATAGATAAATATTTTTTTTTATTAATCGAAATTTTCATATACAAAAAAAGAAAAAAAAAAACAATGTATTTTATTAAATTTTAAATATTCATTATTCTACACATTTTGAAAGTTTTTCTAGAGTAATTCTATAAAGTTTGAGACGAATAACTATAAATTTGATGAAGAAAATTTCATAAAACAAAAAAATATAATGAAGATTTTGACATTGAAGTATTTACAAGAGGTAAAAAGCAAGACTTGAGTACTTCGAAGTGAGAGTGAAGTATAATACTCCACTTCCACTTCGAAATACTCAACTCTCACTTTTTTTTCTTCCTTGGGCGCTTAAACATGACCAGACTTCGTCTAATGAAAAAGCTCTTAGTCGAAATCTATTCGCGTGCTCTTAATCTATAGAAACTTAAGGCTGTTCTTGTTTATATCACTATATAACATTATGAGGTTCGATTTTTATAGATATAGGATTAGTTTAGTTTTGAAAAGAATCGATATCATTTATGTGTATATGACCTCAATGATTTCGGTGAGTAAAATTTGACAAACGAAAGATTATGAAGAATGCAATCATATGTCACTTGTAAATTGAGACCGTCTAACCCATTTATGATTGAATTAAGATATGAACACGTTTTAACACAAATGAATAAATGAACTTTTTATTTTTATGTATTTTTTGTTCGTTGAATATACTTAAGCAAAAAAAAGAAAAGGAAATGGAATATTGAATAAAGGTTTGATCATTTTGAATCATCGGAAATTGCATATTACTGCATTGATTTTCATTGTATTTCACCGCAATCTATCAACTCGGTTTCTTTTTCGCTAGCAAATGTTTATCGTTTTTTTCCTGGTGTATGTTCTCTGCTATACGAGCTTACGGAAAATGGTGATGTAATCAAATCGATTTTTACCTTTTTTTTTTTTTTTTATCGGTATCGTGTTTCTTCTTCATCGGGGATACAAACAAAGACGAGTTGTATTAAGTGTTACGTTGTTTCAAAGCCTTTTTTTTTTAATAAATATAATTGTTATGATTATTTCTCATTTTATATACATATATAATAGAGATTTGCACTAGTAGAGGATCATTTCTAATATCTTTTCAAATTTTCAATAAAACAAAACATCTTATTATGATTTTCAATAGACTTGTTCATTAATTCTAATTCATTTGTACAATATTTAATCTAGACGACATATTCTGTTAATCTAGTCGTTCAAATTTAATCAAAATTTTTTTAATTAAAAAAAAAAAGAAAATGATTTTGTTTTCTAAATGTTAATGGTTCCTGTCTATCCATGCTTTACAAATATATAGCATATTAAATTAATAAAGTGTGCGTCTTGAATAATCTTATTTCCTTCTTCTCATCAAGACAATTTTCTACTTCAATTCAAATATCATCATAATATTGACATACAAAAAAAAAACAATACATAGACTGCGACAATCAAATAGACCAGAGGGAAGAGACACACACACACATATGGTAAACAAAGACAAGCTGAATGGCTCTAGAGTTTGTCATAGACCAGTAAGACTTATTTGAACCTCTGGCTTATACATACAAAAAGCCTTTCAATATAGAACACTAATACATTCATGAACTTACAGTTTCTTTTTTTTTCTTTTTTGGTTTGAACTTCGTTTGATTCGAAAAAAAAAACATGAACTGACCCGATCATATGTATTTTATTATGTCATTGAGACTGATCAAATGTAATTTAAGAAAAAAAAAAAAAGAAGTTATAAGACAACTGTGTTATTTCCGAGCTTCATTTAGATAAACAATTCATACATACACAAAAAACTGTTAACAAATGAAGTCCTATATAAAAACTAATTTTTAAGTTAATCAAAACTTCTAAAACAGAGAATGTATATATGTTTATCTTCATATATTCACATATTTTTTTGTTAATAGAGTTGCTTAAGAAAACTAACCGATGTTTAACCTCGAGCATTATAAAGGCGAGAATATGATCATATTACAATATGAAAAAAAGAAATGGAAAAAAAACTAGAGCCTTTTTTCTTTTTTATGCCGACCGATGTGAGATAGATTTATCAGTATGGTTAAATTACAAACATTGATAATTTAATATATATGTTTTAATTATAAATGATCAAGAGAGATATGTGAAAAGAAAAGAAACACGACAGAAAAAAAAACTTAATCTCAAACTTTTTGATTAAATTAATTCAATAAATTTAAAGAAATATTTTATTATTCTTTCATATGTAAAAATAAAATAAATTTGAAGAACTTTTAAGATATCCTATATAAACATGTTTTCATTCATTAAACTTACATCGCCAATTTTTCCATTAAAATCTCCATTTGGTACAGGTGTTAATTCAGCACCAATAAATATATTTGTTTTAGCTTGCCATCCATCGGGTAATTGTATATCAGATTGTTCAATATTATCAAGATCAAAACGTAACTATATAAAATAATTAAAATTTTTTATATAGACAAAAAAAAAAGATAAAAATTACCTTTCTATCTAATCGTTGAATATTTAATCTATGCCATTTACCATCATTAATTATTATGTGATTATTTGATTTTGTTGTTAAAATAATATCAGGAAGATCATCTTGTGAAAAAATTATTTTTGGTTTACCATCCTTTAAAAAAAAAAAAAAAAAATATGTCATTAATCTTCTTTTTTGTTTTTTATTCTTATTTTGATATAAATCAAACCTCAATATCAAATACATAATAAATATTATCATATGCAAATCCAGCAAGAATAGTTGTTGCTTGTGATATTTGTTGATTTGTAAGAATAGAAAATGATATTGATTCTGATAATGTATAATCTTCTTCATCAGTTGTATATTTTGTTCGAACATTAAGTGGTGATGGATATTCACTAATTGTTTTTGGTATCAAACGATTGGTATTTAATGATGCTTCAGTAAGAGCACCGCCTAGACATATAAAAAAAAAACAGTTTTATGAATTAAATATGAATTTAAATAGTTTATAATAATGATAGAAGTCATGTTAGTCATTCATCTGATTAATTTTCAACTCTAATATCAATAAGTGCAAAATAATAATAATATCAATATTTAATATGTGAGTTGAACTTGTTTTTTTTTTTTTCTTCTTTTGTTCAAGCATATGTGAAGATGAAAATGTATCATCATTTCAAATTCTTTTATATATATATATATTTATCTTGAATTCAAGAGCTTACCGATAGTAAAAGTCTCATTGAATGATGATATATTATTTATATTATTATCATCATTCAATAATTTAAAATGTTGTTGTTGTTGTTGTTGACATAGATATAAGTGAAGGAAAAATAAAATAAGAATAAACGTATATTGGTTTGTGTACGACATAGGTTTTAATTAGAAATATTTAATGATGATTTTCATGATTAGCCTATACATTGATTATTCAAAGAATTTAACATTGTACACATGAATGATGTGTGAGAGCACATCTATGTTGAGAGAAAAGAAAAATATATGAATGTTTTATCTCTCTGTCTCTCTCGTTCTCTCATTATCGTTGTGTAGGGTGGTCGATGACCATCATCAAAACGCAAAAAAAAGAAAGACACAGAGTGAGCGAAAGAGACAAGAAGAAGAAGAAAGAAAGAAAAGGAGAAGAAAGATTTCTTGCGCTTTCATATAGACTAGTGTAAGTTATACACACAGTTCACCATCTTTCCTATGTTGTACGATGTATATGTCGATGGTGGATGAGAGCAGATGATGAGGATGGAAGAAGAGAAATAAGAATGAACTGTGAGTGACGAGTAAAGAAATGAGTACGAGAAAAGAGAAGAGAAAAATTTTCTTCTTCTGAGCTGAAGCGAAAAAATAAAATTGTATCGGCGTTGTCGAGAGAGAAAGAACAATAGTAGTAGTTGTAGTAGTCGTAGTGGTCAGCAGTATAAAATCGGTTCGTGTCTGTCTTCTTCATCTCTCGGCGACACACTGAGTGTATACATACATACACATATACATATATGTATATATTTTGTATGAGTAAAAGAGCGTGAGCATCAAGAGTGAAATTAGTCGTCGCCGGCTGATGCATGATTTCTTCTTCATTGAATTGTCTGTCCGATCGAGACAAGAAAAGGAAGAGGGAGAGAGAGAGAGAGAGCGAGGGAGCAAAGGAAGAAAATGGTTCCACTGTAACACTAGTGTTTCGTGAGGCCGTATATAGAGTATCAACACCTCTGTTTGCATTGACCCTAATCTCTCTCTCACGCGCTATAACCTTTCTCGATGTCGCGAGCACTTGTGCACAATTAAATTGTATATGTATAAATGCATATATATATATGTATCAGATCGGTTCAATGTATAAATGCATATGTCGCATGATTGAGATAAATATTATTTTATATTAAAATTGAATCATATTATAAGTTTAAATTTGTTTCAAAATGGACAAAACTAATTTTCTTTTGTCAAAGGAAGACCGACAAGATGCATCAAATTACAAGTAAATTCTCAATTTTCTTGGTGACACAAACAAAAGAGACATCAAACTACATGCATACTATGTATTATATAAGAACATTCATGAGCGTAAAACGAAAAAGTAAGAAGAAGAAGAAGAAAAAAATCCCAATGGTACAAGAATAAACTGTCATGTGAAAAAAATGAGAAAGTAAATTGATAAAGAAGAAAAAAAGCCAAGAAGTTCTAAATACACCTGACAAGTAAATGTTTCGACTACGATTGATGATAACAAATGATTACTTCAATCGTTTAATCGTATAATTTATGTCTCATTAGATACAGTCATTTTTCTTTTTTTCTTTCTTTCTTTCTTTCTTTCTTTCTTTCCACATTCCAATACAATCTCATATAACCAAAAAAAAAAATAGATTCCAGACCGTTAGCTGAAATAGTTATGATTGCATGTTCTAGAAGAAAATAATGATGGGTGAAGAATACTAACTATATTATTTATCGAAAGTATCTTAATATGATTTTCTTTTTTTTTCAATATTACAGCATATCAATGATGTAAGAATATAAAGATTCTAAAACTGTCTTATCCTGTCTTTAACCATTGCATGTTTGATCATCTTTCATCATTCATAGATCAAGATTTATTATTAGCAACATGCAATATATACATATATATATATATATATACAAATATCTGTCAAACAGTCACAATTAAAATCTCATTTTTTTTCTTTTTTTTTTTTATATTCTTATTAAACATTCATCATAATTTAAACATTTATCGATCAACTTGTATGTAATAAATGTTAAAAAGAAATACTACACTTAAAAAATTCACACATTTACATATTATTGTTTTTTTTATTCTTCAATAAAAAATAATAACTAGAAAAGAATAACACTACAGATTAGTTAGACTAGACTATTCTTTTTTTTTTTTGTTTTGTTTTGTTTTAGACTTACATTGACATAAATCAAGATCTGTTGTATCTCGTTTTAAACGCTCATCATTGTGCATAAATGCACAACATTCTAATAGTGATATAAATAAAATTCTCTATCAAAAGAGACAATCAAAAAACCTCAATATTGGATACCTACCAAATGGTTGCTTTTGATAAGACCAAGATATAGAATGAAATTGAACATATGTATTAAAAGATAAAGAAGATGATGTAGATGGTTTATTCGATTGAATATAAATCATATTGGTTGTATAATCCATTAGTTGACCGAAAAGAAAAACAGATAATGATAATGGCGAACGATAAACAAGATTAATAAATAATGTTGTTTGATAAGGAAATTCAGTAAGCTGTGTACGTAAAATACCACGATTAAAGGGTAACCAAAGATCAAAATGTAATGTTGATAATGTTGAATTTAAAACAATAAAATTTATATGAATTGATGCATCATTTTTAAAATATTGTGCAAATATAGATTGTGAACCATTAAATTGTTCAATTGAAAAAATAAATGTTAAAATGAATTCTATATAAGAATACAAAAAAAAAAGCAAAGATTTCTTGAGAAGGAAGAAAAAAAAAAACAAAACCGTTCTTTTCTTTTTTTTTTTTATGTGTGTGTATATAATTACCTGCTGAACATGTATTTAAATCCCACATACAAGTATCTTCTTGATTATGAATAGGTGAAAATGTTGTAAGAATATTTTCATTAGAATTTGTTTTGATATCTTAAAATGATTAATAAAATTTTTCTTAATAAGAAAAAAAAAAAGTTTTTTGTTTTTTAATACAAACTTTTTTTAATAACATTAAAAATATATGGATGTGTACCAAATGTATATGATGATGCATCATTACTCTGTGCTATATATTCAACAGATGTAAAATCAATTTTATATTCAATAAGATTGTTATCTAAATATAAAGAAATTAATTAATATTTCTTTTTTTTTTTTGTTTATATTTATTATTTATTTTCAAAACATAATAAATACCATTTGTTCAATAGATGATTATTTATTTATTTCTTTTTTTTTCTGTTTATATATATATATAATTGTTTATGTACCCGTAAGTTATCTTATATGATTAACAATACAATCAGATTTTTTTGTTAATAATTTTCTTTTTCTTATGTCTTAATATTAAATGAAAGAAGAAGAAAAAAGAAATACGTAGACAATCAATGTTCAATTATAACATTATGAATGACTATTGACATCTTTCAAAAGAATGTTAATGGTTAGTTCCGTTGTTAAAAAATATTAAGTATATAAATATTTCCGAATTCTTCTTTTGATTATATTAAAAGTAGATTATAAAACATATTTGAATAATAAACTTTTATGTTAAATACATAAATGAAGACAAAAAAAAAACATTTGATTTATTTTGATTTTAAATATGAAAAGAATATATATTATAAATCTTTTCATTCTAGTATTTATATATGAGATTAAAATTCAAATTTTTTTTTCTTTATGTATATGTGTGTGAATATTGACAGATATTGAACATTTATTTTATTTCTTTGATTTTATTATATAAGGGATTAAAGTATAAGCTTGGACATAGACGTTCTTAATAACATATAGGAAATGAAGCAAAAGCAAATCATCATCAGTTGTTCATGTCACTCGCAAGTATTTTGTATTGGTTATTATCAACTACACAAACATATATGTATATCTAAAGTTGTGATTAATTGAGCGAGGACAACAAGCATATACATAAACATTCACTCTAAGTTTTCTTTCAATCGTTCATAAGCTTCTTTTCCTATGTATGTGACATCTAGACCAAGACAAGACCATGACCCTTTTCACTGTTTACTTGATCGTTTAATTCAAAAGTATACACTGCTCACTTCACCTTCATCTTTCGATCTTCTATGTGAAGTGAGTGAAAACAGTTTAGCTTTGTTACTCTGCCGTAAGTTGAGTGAAAGAAGACGACACACTCGAGAGTCAATCTGTTCTATGTTCACACACACACATCTATACAAAGTGTTCATTATTTTTTTTGTCTCGGGCAAATCTTCATCGATTGTACGTTTGTATAGAAAATGTGAACACTTTAATCATAGGCTGTGCTCATGAAAAAAAAAAAGAACTTGACAATGTAGGTGTGTTTATGCATGTATATATGTATGTGTGTGTGTTTCATCATTTATTGACAGGCGATCATTCTCATTATCTTTTCTTTGTGTTGATGAATATATACACGCGAACAAGTTCAACTGTTCGTAGAATGACATGTGTGAGAGTAGCATATCAAAACAATTAACGCTTGTGATCAAAGATTAGTACTGCTAGTTTTGATAATAATGATTATTAATAATAAATTACATCATGCATTACAAAGCAAAATGAGCAGCAACATTGCCTTTAGTATACATACATAAGTAGACAACAACAAGTCAGTTAGATGATCAGTCTATGTATATATGTGTTTGGCGTTTAATCGGGCAGACATAATGTAAACACATTGAACTGACTGACTGACTGACTGACTGACCGAACAAGCAGTGTTTCATTAGGAGAGATGCCTATAGCATCTTCCATATGGTTGATCACATGCATTGTTCTATATGGTGTTGCCTGCCTATACATGTATATACATATACAAGCAGAAAAATGGACCGTAATGTATTGCGTAAAACGAATAAAATATATTAAAAAGATTATCGCCCGGATTCCAACCAAACAATATTCATCATTAATATGAAAAAAGAAGAAGAATAAGGAGATAAGCATGATGATGATGAGACAGCTCATGCCTTTAAGGTTACTATTCATAGTTATAAGATTAGATAAGCATTGTTAATATGTTTTCTTTTACAACATAATGACTTACTCATCATAGTTAAAATACTACATGTTTTATTGCTACAATCACATTGATATCGTGGTTCTTCATCGACATTTAAACATTCACATGATGAACTTGAACATAATGATATTTGTTGTTCACATACTTCAGATTGATAATTATTTAATAATGATGAAAAAATTGGATATTGAATACGTTCAGGACATCCACATAAACCATAACGAAGATTACGTATATAACCTTGATAGGATGAAAATAAAAATTCACTTGAATAACGTTCTTTTTTATATATATTTAATGGTAAACCACCAATATAAACTATTGAACTTGTATTTAATGTTGTAAATGGTGAATAATTTAATATTTTTGATTTTATTATACGATTTTCAACATTTCGTAAAGCAACAGTATAAAGTATAATTTCTGTTATTAATGATGAACGTCTTTTAAATACAATTTTATACCATTTATTATCATTAATTGTTTGATCAAATTTTTGATATGATTTATTTTTTCCAAATTTTTGTTCAACTAATAATTTTCCATTATATATTGATACAATAATTGAATCATAATAATAATTATCATATGTATAAAAAATTAAACCATTTTTTGTTATTGTACGAAATTCAAATGAAAATGAACCATTATTACATAGATATAATGATGGATAAATAACAAATTGAGTATTTTGATCTTTATTATTAATTTCATTTGGATTAAATTCAATTGAATGAACACAAGATATAATCCATAATAGGATAAACCACATAAACATTGTCTGTCTGTCTAGAATATAACAAAAAGAGAAGCAAAAAAAAAACAAAGAATAAATGATTCAATAAGATGAATGTGTGACTTCAATAGGCAAAAATGAACGATTTTGTTATGTTCTACTAATTGTTCAAGATTCTTCGTTTTTTTTTTTTTTTTTATAACAAAGGTGAATTTGACTCTATAACGACGAACTTTACGTAATCGAAGCGGAATCAACAAATAAGTGACATGCCTATTGGGGAATACTTAAAAGAAAAAAAGAAAAACTGTACAAAGACTATACACTATGTTTAGTAAGTAAATTCTGATCAGTCACGAGAGGAGAAGAAAAGAAGACGATTTGGTTGCAATATTTTCTTCTATCTAACCATAATGATTATGTTTTCTAGAATCAAGGTAAAAAGTCAGTAGGGCTTCTGAACTTCTACGTCTTACTTATTCTTGGACAAATGAAGAGAAGAAAAGAAGAGAAAGATTCTGTTTCTCTCTCTCTCTCTCACTTTATGTCTCTTTCGAGTAATGGTCAAATAAATACGTTCATTCGTGGAGTTTGGTATATACATACGTTTTGTCTCCTCTTCTTCTTCTTCTTCTTCTTCTCTTCTCATTTCTTATAGTTATTCTCCTTCTTTTCGCCGTTCAACAATATCCAATAATGCAAGACAAAGAGATGAGAGAACACGCGATATACATATGTGCATAAAAATAGGTCGTCGTCTACGGCCATAGTTAATTATTTTGATGAGAATGAGAAAGAAAGCCCCCAATAACCATCTTCCTTTCTTTCTTCTTTTTTTCTATCGTTTATTATTGAATAGTATTAGAACCACTAAACCATTGTCCATCATTGTTTTATCCATATACACATTCGTACATATTGACTATCATCGCCATGATATTATTCGATCAACAACACTAAATAGTATATACAAAGATCTCTATGTCATTAGCCAACATCTTTTTTTTTCGTATTCATAAGTATAAGTTATGTCGATAATGGTGAAAAGAAAACGAAAAATTTTCTTACTGAATGATGGATAATGATGTATCGATATTTAAAAACAAGTATGTCTCATAAAAAAAAAAGAAAAAAGGTAAAATGACCAATTTATCATCAAAAAACAAATAGACTATTAAATTTGACTGAAATTTTTCTTTTATCTAATATGTAAATGATATTTTTAAAGTATTCAATATGAATATATACTTGAAGACGAAAACAAATGAATTCATCAAATATCTCTAAAGAGCAATTTTACTTATAATATAATGGATTAAATTTAAATATATATTTTTTTTTCTTTCAATAAATAGAACATCGAATGTATACGTAAGAATTATCATAAATACTACTTTTATTTTTTTATCTAAGACAAAGTGAACAATCAATAGTTTTAAAACAAAATTTTAACGTTCAATTTTGTTTTCTTTTTTGTCAATGAAATAGGTAAAGGGATTGTTGTTAAGATGAATGACAAAAGCACGTTGAATATACGTCGTAATTTAATCTACACAAGATTTATTTGTTGTGTTTTTACATATTGCAGACGATGGATATTGAATAATTCATTTCGTTATAAGATACGATTTATATGTATATATATAGTAATTAAGTAGTGAATCTATATCTCTCTCTCTCTCTCTTAAATAGAAATTATTAAATAAGAATGATCAGTTTGAATGTTAAAAATTTTTAGAAACGAGGAAAGCTGTGAATTGTTTAAAAGAATCGCTATGACAACAACTGAAAACTATCATACTTTGTTGTCAAACATGCTGAGATGTAAGAGAAGGTCACATATCAATCATGAGTCAAGCATCTTTCAAAGAGGATAAAAAAAGAAAGCTATGATAATACTTCCCTTCATATAGAATCGATCATCAAACAATTAAATTTTATTTCATCTGATTATCAAAATTGTATATATACATATATACTTTCTTTATTGAATATGATTTATTAGGAAAAAGATTTTTCGTTATCTTATCTTTGTTAATTATTATATGCGTCCTTGCCTCATCTTGAATGACTGATGACAATTCTATTTATTATCGAAAGATTTTTGCATGTATGGATAATTTGATTTGTATTTTTAACGAGTTTTTTTTTGTGTTCCTTTTAACTTATTTCGAATAAACATAATAAATTTTATGTCATATATGTTATCATGATAGCTACCAGTGTAATAATTTTTTTTTTTCGTGTATTACTGTCAATTATATTAATATAGACAAAAAAATAATTAATAATTATTTTCGTAGAATCTAAGAAACAAAAATCTGATGTATTTGATTGATTTTTCAAAAAATTCAAGTTAAAATCTAGAACTAAAATTAGACAAATTATTAACTCTATTTATTTATAGAAAGTACTACTTCTTTGTTTAATTGCTTAAATATTCTCTTTTAATATTCATGGATAAATATGTGTTTTGACGTCAATAGAATAAATTATATATTTTTATAATATGATAATCATTTTCTTTTACTAGAGAAAATTCCTTGATTGTTCTTCAAATTTATATTACTCGAAGCTATTCCAAATTTTTCAATTATCCTAAAATAATTGACTTTCATTCAAAAACTACTATATATCATTTTCTATAAATCAAATAATTCTAATGTATATTATCAATGAAAATTCTATTGCTATTATTTTGTTTCTCAATGCTCAAAAACAAAAAAAAGAAATCATAAATAAATCTTAATGAAAAGAAAAAAAGAAAGCAAAGTTTTTTTTTTCCTTTTGACAAAATATAACAGTGCATGAATAACACAGTGCAAGAAATAAATAAATATATATATATATATATGAATTCTTATAGAATTGTACATGATTTTGATTTTTGATTTTGTTCTATTTTTTTTGTAGGACTTCTATTAGCTGGTATTGTATTCTTTAATTGTCTACTTTGTTGATATTGATCACCGGTATTTGAATGTGTACCATTACTTGTTAAATTATGATGCATTCTAGTTTCATTCTTAGGCTTTTCTGTCTTGATAACAATATCTCTTAATGCCTTTGGATCATATGTACCCAAATAAATATCACGATATGGTGTATCATGTTCACAATGAAAAGCACCTTTTTGTCGACATAAACCACAACGAAAATCTTCTCGTGTGTCCGAATAACTAGCGGTCGTTGTCATGAGAATATAGAAATCTAAAGTACAAGAAGAAAAAAAAAAAAAAAAAAAAAAATTATTTTTACTTTGTTTTATTTTTAACAGAGGAAATAATTTATCGTTTAAAGTTCCGTTTAAAATATAAGTTGATCATGAATATTTAAAAGTTACAAAGAATATTGCATACATTGTATGATTTTAAGCAGCACTATTCTCTTCATTTTAAGAAAAAAAAATAACAAAAGACTTGATTAACAATTCAACATATCCTTTCGTTTTTTTTATATTTTAATGGTCGTTTAACAATCGTGCAATTTATCTTTGAGACAAAAAAAGAAAAAGAAATTTGCTTATATCTACCTCAGCTGTTTCTTTTCTTTTAAAATAAGTCTTATGTTAAGATGTGAAAATTGAAAATATTATATATCAAAATATAATATATGTGTAGACTCACCAGTTTATTGTACATAAATAAAGACTGATTTTCGTAGATTTGTTGCGTTGCAACAAGATGTGGAAACACAAAAAAGAAAAGAATAGAAAAGTTTTTCTTTTTGTTAAAGTTGAACAAATGCTATAATGTTTCGTTTCCTCTCGGTTCTCTTCTTTTTGTTTTTTTCTCTTCTATAACTTTGTCATAGACACAGATATGCTTAAAAAACTTAATTATATGGCACACGTTTCTTTTTATTGATTTGTTTTTTCTTATTTTTTACACACTCGATTGAAATAAGAGAAATTGTTACCCAGACAACCGGATAGTAATATGTGTAGTAATCAAAAATAAAGTTCAATTGAGATACAAATGATAAAATTTACTGACACACACATATATTACTCAATTGAATAAGACTCGGAATTTATTTGTGATTGCCGTGATACTACTCATTCACTTTTTCTAATAGTTTTAAAGTATTATGTATATTCAGTGGTTCTCAGCATGTTTCGACCTAATTTATTTTCTATTTTTTGTTTTTCTCCGCTGTCGTAAACGCTAGTAAGAATGCAAACAGTGAATTGAGTTCAAATCGTTTGAAGGTAACAAGAATTACTAGTTTACTAGGAACAGAGTCTCTAAAAAAGTTAGTTCTTCGGTTCATTGAATTGGCTAATAGAATTCTGTTTAAATCAGTCGGAATGATAGAGTCACGAATTCTCTACACAATGAAATATTGTGCAATTCTCTATGATATTTTTGAAAAGAGATATATCAAACTTACGGAAGGCATAAAAGTCATTTTTTTTCCTTTTATTTCGTACGGAAACACTGCTTTTTTGTGCCTTTCAGAAGATTGATGTATCTCGATCAAAAAATGTCCTTGAGATTTATTTGTTCTATGAAACAAAACTCATTCGATAAGTTCTAGAAGTTGTAAAACTTGATGTTTCAAACCTCTGATTCTTGATAAAAATCTTCAAAAAATCTCCACGAAAATCACTCTTGGACGTCTTACTAGCGTTTATGGTAATAGAAAAAAAATAAATAAATGTTAGTCATATTAATAGAAAAACTTGATTTTGTTAAATAGTAGTTTATCTTATATTTAATCGTCTATTTAATTAATATGTTGTTCAAATAATTCAAAGCAAATTCATATTTGTTTATTAGTACACAACGTTTAAACAGACAATGATCGTATGGTAACAATTTTATTGAAAAGAAAATTGTCTCAATATACTGATTATAAAATGATAGTTTGTTATTCTTTATTGACTTGAGATTGCTTTGATAAATACTCGTTTATACGTTAGATTGTTCCATATAAACGATAGTTAGTAAATCTCATATATATGGAAATCAGTTTTAGACATAATGGAAAAACCAAGACTATTATGATATTGATGACTATGAAATCAAGAAAATACTGCAATTATAATTAAGACAAGACCATGCTCAATTTTTTCTACATATGATGATAAATAATTATTTTAACAGAAAAATCTATAAATATGATTATCTTAATGTTTATTAAATCATAGAAATCAAAACAAACTTTTTTTTCTTTTTGTCTATTTCAAATATCATTTAACATCAAATTTAGAATAAATTAATTCAAGTTTTCTGTTCGAAAAAAAAAAAAAGATGATCTTACTTTGAATCAGTTTCAAATAATATAAAGTCCACTCTATCATTTTTTTCAATCATATAGAATCAAATGATCGTGTTTGTCTTTTCTCATAATTTATTATCATTAATCATATGTATTGATTCTTATCTCATTATAAAAATTAAGTATGATTGATTATACAACTAAATATCTGTATCAAATAGAGATGATCAATATACACATTATTATCGATATATATATATATATTTTTTTTTTATTGTTGTTAAAACATTCTATATATTAAATGGCTTTGAATAATAACATATTGTTCTTGAATCTGATTATTTTGCTTAGCATCTTTTATCTTTGATCTTGGATTTGATTGGAACGTGCCTTACACGTGTGTGATGTTTAATCTGTTTACTCATTGTTCTTGCATTGTATATTCAAATGAATTGTGCTTTATGTGTTATTCTTGCGTATAGAGCGTACGTTTATATATATCTATATTCAACAAATATGATCATAGACTTCCGGTGAATGTGTATGTGTATTTATCACCTTTCTAGAACTTAGCATAATCTTTCTCTCTTTGACTTCTATTTCTTATTTTATTTTATTTTTTTTCTTTTATTTTGTATAATATAAATCAAACGTTGATATATATTTTATGTTCTATTCAATTGTACAACTACGATAAATGGAAAAAAGAGAATTAATTGTTCGACAAATTGCTCAATGTCTTCGTGAAATTAGTGATGAACTTGATCAACATCTTCATGAAATGAACTATGAAATTGATCAAACACCATTGAAAATATCATTATTTACATTGATCAAAGAATATATTTGTAATTGTTTTTTGTTTAATTATCTATTCATTTATGCTATGTTATAATTATTTCATTACTTTTGTTTGTTCTATAATATTCTATAATAAATAAATGTTCAATCTTTTATATTTTGTTGTTATCGGAATACTTTAAAGACGAAAAAAACAAAAAACAAATTAACAAATACATAATTCAAATTATACACTATTTCATCAATTATCTTACAGCCTGTGGCATTCGATCATTGAGTAATAACCTTAATTCAGGACGTGCACGACGCCAATCTTTTTCCGGTTCAAAATCATCAAGTTCAATAATATCAGTTTGTAAACGATCACAATCAGTAATCATTACTGTTGGCAATGGCATTGTTTTTATTGATGTTAGTGGAATACTTGATGATGTCGATGTACTACTTGATGACAGATATGTAGCATTAGTGATCTGACTAAATGTTGTAGTTGTTGATGATTGAGATGCATGTCGTTTTAAATGAACAAAACGATTTGATAATGATTTCGTTGAAGATGATTCATTAATAGGAGCAATTACAGATGCTGTTGAAATATTTAAATCAGCAGTAGATGATGCAAGAGTCGATTGGGAATAAGCAAAATTTCGACAAGCTGGATATTGTACAAGAGATGACTCACCATCATTTGTTGAAGTTAATGTTGATGGACTATAACCCATATTAGAAATGCCGACGGGCGTTGTGAATGTTAATTCAAATTCTTCTTCAGGTATTCGTTCACATAATGCAACAACATGTGCATGTTCATGTGTACTTTTTGATCGTTCAGAAATAAATGATACAGAAGTAAAAACACTTGCTTGATCATCATCATCATCATCATCTTCGTCATTATCATTATCAGAAATATTACCTTCTTGTAATGGTTGTCCCATAGATGTTAATAATGATGATGATGGCTGTGGTGGTGCTGATGATGATTGTGATTGTATTGGTGGTAATGGTCGATGGTAGAGAAATAATTTTTGATGTGTCTTTCGTTTTAAATGACGAAATGTTTGAATAGATACAAATATAAGTCCCATAATTAACCAGAGAAATGATATTGAACCAAATACAATAAAAAGACGTTTTATCATACTTGTATAATAAGATGAAGAAGATAATTGTTGAATAGTTGATATCGACAATGAAGTAACATTATTCGACATTGTCATAAGAGTTGCTGTTGACGAAGAAATTTTCATATTTTGTTTTTTTTAGTATGAATATGTTCAATGATTATAGAGAAGAAACATTGAAAAAAAGAAATACTTTGTTTCCTACTACCATTTTTTGATGAATGTTGGTCACAGGAGATCGATCCGTTTACTTAAAAGAACGACAGTAGATCGAACGAACGATCGGAGACGAGAACAACAGAAGAAAACGAGAAAGAAGGAGAGAGAAATACAGGGAAAGAGAAAAGTTATAATTGTTCTTCGCCTGCCTTTACCTTATGGCAACGACAATCGATGTAGAGCTGAAAGCTCATGTTTAATTTATTTTTGATCAAATATCATCTGGCATTGAGCAAAAGAATGTTACCACGCGATCGACATCCATCATCTATTTTGAACATGAAGAGAAAAAATAAAAAGAACTGAAAAAGAAAATAAATTAAGGTCTATTGAAGAGTCAGAATTGAGTAGTCAACCTTCGGCTATTAAACGAATGTATCATTTTGTATGCATATGTGTTACAATGAGGCGGGATTTAGATAGCAATGAGATTTATTAGCTTTTATCTTTCTCTTATTTTTACATTGATAAAATAGATCAATATCTCTGGGATATTGATTGACAAATTACCATTTTTTTTTGTTTGTGTTTTCGATAACGCCTTTCTAGATGGCTATCGTTCCTATTTTTTTTTTTTTTTTTTTTACTTTTTTTTTTTTTTTTTTTTTTTTTTTTTGAAGAAGAAGGATGGGTGATGATGGAAAGGGGGGGGGGGGGGGAGTTAATGCTGTTTTATTTGTTGTCCTACGCGTATGAAGATGTAGAAACGGAAGGAAAAATTAGCGCGTAGGCATACATTCAATAAGACGATGCGCGTATAATCATCTATCTAACATAATTGTCTTATAAACTCATACAAATACACACCGATATAATTATATATTATTGACTTTCTTAATGTATAAAATACTCAAGTAAAACATAATGATTATAAGAAAAATGAAGTAAATAATTTAGTAGACATACTAAAATAACTTTGATGTTGACATATGCTCGTCTATCAATGTCATAATCTTAGAAATATATTCTATTCAATGTCAATGAATTGATTTGTTTATATATGTGCATTAGAGCAAACGAAAAAACTTTCTTTCAATATGTGTTCTTTAATTATTTCCTGATGATTATTTTTATTTATGTATGCATAATGTAAAGATAATGCGAACAGGTAATTGACAAAACAAAAAGCAATGAGTGGAAATAATGTTAAATGATGGCCAGTGTTACCGAGCTATAGGATTCTACAAGTGATAATACCTTATTATTTTTTTTTCTTTGACTGTTTGTTGCCTTGGCGATCTATCCAATATTAATGAATTCTCTAAGGACAATGATGTAGCTATCAACTCATAGATTATTATTAGTTGACGAATCCATTTTGTCTAAGATACGTGTCGATGATGAAAAGTCAAGAGCCGTCAATGAAAGAGAGACAAAGCATATGTACAAGGTTTAGCTAAGGAATAACCATCAGTCAACATCAATTTGATTGATGAAGAGCCAGTTTCTTATTAAAAAAAACTAGAGCATATAATAATATTAAAAATAAAATTTCTAATGATGAAATATCAGATAACAATAGAAAGAAGAAAAATAATATCTAATATTATGTTTCGCTCATAATTTTCTCTTTCTGTCTCTATATATAGAGAAACTCATATACGAATAAAATGATCGATGATAATTGAATTCATGCTTCCTGATTAACAAGAAAATATATTTTGATCATCGAAGATGAATTAATACACTACATCTGTTTCCAAAAACAAAAACAAAAAAACTTACATAAAAGTGGGCACTTTCACTTCTAGGTTTTCTGTTTGATGTATAGAAATTAAAAATATTCATGTGATTCTTTGTCTTAAAAGACTGTTATATATATATATATATTGAAACAAAATTCTGAGAAGATTAGTCAGCCTTGTAGAGTGTGAAGCAAAAGACTTCCATAATGATTTTCTATTCATAACATTACTAAATTAAAATAAATCAATTTAATTAAGTATCTAACTAGTGATGAAAATACTCTCAATATTAAATATTAAAAGTTCAAAAAAACTTTTTTCTATTCTCTTATTGAAAAAATTAATGTTCATAATTTCAAATAATTAAGTGATCAACTAAGAACTCTATATCCAATTACACTAATCATGAAATACAAGTATAATACTCTTGATAGCCTATCTATTTCAAACTTAAAAATAATTCAAGTAATCATATATTAAAAAAAAAAGCAATACCCACAAAGTACTATGTGCAAGTTTCCTTGTTTTTTTTTTTCGTTTGCAATCCAGTCTTCACTTTTTTTTTGTTTTTTTTCAGGTGATAATAAAACATTGTTAAAAATCATTGAGAGGAAATGATATATTGTCTCATAGTTAGTTGTATTTATTCGATTTGACATGATGATTAGTTGGGAAAAATCTTTTACATAGTACCTTTCATCCCCGCGGGACTAGAAACTTATTCCTGAAAAGAAAAAGAAATGGTTCAAATAGCATAATAAAAAAGTTCATGTGTATCTTTTTTTGAAGATTGTCAAACTAAGAACAAGCTTTTTTTTGTTTATTGTTCAATTACATTTTTTTAAAAATCAATAAGAGTTTTTCAAATAACAAAAAAAAATAGTTTCGTACCTAACTAATAGAAAATCTTCTCTATAGTTTCTAGACAAAATTTGAGATAAAAAATTAACTGTCAATAGAGAGCCATCTTGATAAAGTCAATGTATATTTCCATAAAAGAAAGGCACGCCCTATTTATTATAGTAGGTTTACATTATTAATATTTATTATCGTCTTAATGTTGATAAAGATTAGTCTAATATTGTTTTTTGTTCGGTGAACTTGAAGATTCATAACTTGATAGTATTTTCAACAGTAATGAATCGATATATGTTGAAAAATGATAGATATTTATATATATATATAATGATTGATTAAGAAATTAACATGTAATGAAAACTAAATAATAAATGAGACACATAGTTTTTCTTTTTTTTTTAGCATTATAGTTGAGAAATATACAGAGTTCATATTATAATGAATTTTATTTACAACAAATAAAACTAAACAAAAAAAAAGAAAAGTGATTTATATAAATTCAAGACTGTGTAGTTGATTTTAAGCATTTTTCATATTATATGAAATTCATTTATTTTGATCGAATGAGATTTTTTTTGACTTTTGAGAAATAATATTTATCAGTTCTTATTTAATTACACAAAAACAAAAAACAACCATATATTCAAATATTTATCGAAAAAAAGATTATTTCTATTTGAATCATTCTATATATGAGACAAACTTCAATGTCAATCTATCAAATAGACAGATAAGGTTATCACTATATCAAATATATCAAGCTTATATAATGGTTATTTTGGTATTATTTTTCCGTCTATTGACATCATACCAGATCTTATCAAGTCTGTCAATCTTACTCTTACACATTTGTCCTATGTGCCTTCTAATTGATTAAGTTAATGGAAATAGAATTTTGAAAATCATTAAACACACATTTATTTATTTTCTCATCTGGCCGAAAAAAAAAACAGAGAGCGTACAAAAAAAAAAGGGAAAGAAAACAAGCATAATCCATAAATAAATTGTAACTAAAAATATTTTTTTTTCTGGTACATGCATACACACCAATCATATCGAAAGAGAACAAAGAAAAAAACACACATACATACATATACATACATATAGAGACTGTAATCTCGACAAGCTGTCAAGTGGAATTATGAGAAACGAAAAAACAATCAAGATCTGAAAATAAAATAATTTATTAGAATAAAATAAATATTGTTTTTTTTTTTAATATACCTGGAATTATTTTTAAATGAATTATGTGATTCTGTTGTTGTTAGAGAAGTTTTTCCTTTTGGTGATTGTTGTACAATCGTATAATTATTCATTAGTGAATTTGCAGAAAATAATTTATACCAATCAAGTACTTGAGCAGAAGAATTTAAGTGAAGTTCTTCTAAATTTATTTGACATACACCCATAAATACTTTCCTATCTAATTTTCCATAATCACCCCAAACACTTATCTATTTAATAAAATAATATTAAAAATTTTTTATATTAAAAATTCAAAACAAAAAAGATCTGTTTTTTTTTTTTTTTAATATTTACTTGTAAAACTTTTTCTCGATAATTTTCTTTAAATATAAGTGTTTGTTGTATTAATGGATCAAGTGTACGACGAGTTGTTCGTGTACGTTGTTTTTCAAGACAAGTTTTACCATCAAGTAAATAAACTTTTACATAAGGAGCTATTACAACAACAAAAAAAAAAGAATCAACATTATTAAAGAATTCAATAAGTCAAAAAACAAAAAAACAATTATGTACCCGGTGGCATTTTATATAAAGCTTTTTGAAGTAAATTTCTTGCTCGTACTATTTCAACTTCAAGTAAAGTATGTTGATCACGTAAACCAACTTGTATTTCACCATGACATGGAGATGCAAGAACTTGTCGACCAACTAATTGTCCTGTACCTAAACCTTCAATAAATTCAGCAAATTGATGTTCATGTGGTAGTTTAAGTCCTCCAGACCATAATCTATAAAGAATAATCAATTCATTTAATATTTATGTTACTCATTAACAAACAAAAAACAATTTGATCTATTCCAAAAAAAAAAAAATTTTTTTTCTAGTCAACGGGTCCCTCTATTTTGAGAATAGATGATAAGAAAGACTTGAGCAAAAGTTGTCATAGAACTAAAAATCGTTCTACTTTCTCAGTTATGATTAGATGTTAGCCAGATGGAGACCAAGACTTTTATCTTTTATAGTTGTATGAAACTTGCGTCAAATGTTATTGTTACAACTTATGTGTTCTCAAAGTTTATGAAAAAATTATCCATTAACGATTATTTCAATATTTGCTGTTACAATTTTGATGGAGTCATTGAAGACATAAAAATGCAAAATTGACGACGTATTAATGAATTAAAAAAAGTAATGAAGCTTCAAGAAGGAGACTATTAGAGTTATGCAAGACGTTTTGAACTCATTAATACTGCTAGAAACTGATATTACGTTTTTTGCTCGTATATGTATTACTAAGCGCGAAATCAGAGCCAAACATTGTTCTGATCGATCACGGGACTAAAATTGATTCGGTCCTTTTATAACTAGCTGAAAGTTTTGTTTTTTAGAGACACAACCGGAAGACTTTAGACTGAGCATAGGTAACTAGTTGAAGGTGAGAACTGACCCATGGAAGACTATGGTTCTCTTTCGGTACAATTAAAATTGAGTTTATGCTATTAATAGATGAACTAAAATAATCTCTCTCACTTTTTGAGCTTCCTTTTTTATGTTATTCTATTCGAACTAGAAGATTAAAATATTGAGCGCATTGTCGAACTTTTCTTGAGTAGGGCTTCTTTTCTTTGTAAACTCTGACGAAAATCCACGATGTATCATTTTTTGAGACTAGAAGAAAATATGCATCTTAAACATTTTCGAATGTAAATAAAAGAAAGTTTCAACTCGATTGAATGTATTGTGGTTGAGAAACTTGGAATGAAATTTTCAACTTTGTCTTTTGTTAAGAAGCTGATTTTTTGAAATACAGAAAAAAATGTGTGAGTTTTGATATTATTAAGCAAAAATCTATTATCTTTTCCAAATTTTATGAATATAAATTAATTCTGTCTAGTAGATAAAGAATATTTTCAAGCGTACGTAGAGCAGAAAAACAGAGAAAGTCTAGAAATTTTCGATCAAAATATCTTGTCAAATAAAAGCCATTCTTGACAATAATAAAGACAAAAATCTGTTATCACACTATGTCCAGAACTTAGAGTTTGATTTCATTATTAGCTACCTAATTATATTTGGTTTTATTCTATTGAAATGTTACATCAAAGTCATTCAGATTGATTTCAAGTCCGAAAATTTTGAATTTAGACTCGATCTGTACTCATTATATTCTCAATAAAAGATTTTCATCGGTTTTGATAGCTTTTTTTTCACTAATTTAAATTCAACAATTAAAGCAGCTTACACATCTTTCAGAGTATCTAGACGAGGATCGTATAAGAATGAGATCATCATTGAGTATTACTTTTACAGCAGTGAGTGTCAAGTTACAGCCTGATCTGCACCCATAATTTCAATGAAAATTCTTTTGTTTGAGTCTTTCAATGGCGTGAGATACTTTCTAATGACACACTCAATACATTTCTCGCGATACTCTAGTCACAATTGGCTGTAGTTTTTTTCAAGTGTGCTATTTCTCACTCAATCTATTACATTAAATTCATCTCGATTAATAGTATTGTCTCTTTGGCTTGTTTTTTTTAACAAGAAAAATTTACTTCATATCATGTGGCATTGAATGATATTGATCACGTTGACGAGATAAAGTAAGTGGTGATTGAGATGAATCTGATGGTGGAGCACTCGCTGGTGTTTCATTTTCTTTACTAGTTTGTCGTTGTATTCTACTACGTAAATGAGGTTGAACACCAATTTCTTCACTTCGTTGAAAACCAAAACGTTTTCCTAATAAAAAAAAAAAAAAAAAGAAAAATAATAAATCATTCATGTTTTTTTGTTTTGTCTCGTTGACAGATCATAATCTCTCTCTCTTGCTATATATATATATTTACCATAACCAAGATTAGATGCACTATTTGTTTTTTTTGATAAACCAAGTATGACAAGTGCTTTTGATGACATTGATGGTCGTCGTTTTTTATTTGATTCAGGTTGTGTACTCAAAACAGAATCTGATAATGTACCATCATTACGTAGATCAGATTTATTTGTGACAGATGTATTAATACGTTTATCAATAGGAGTTGATGATGATGTAGATATTTGTGTATTTGGATCATTTTTTGTATTTGCTGTTGTTGTTATTGTTGATGGTGTTGTTTGAGTTGTTGTTATTGTATCATGTGTACGCATAGCCATTTGTCGAAGTTCTTCTTCATTTAATTGTACAACTTCATTACGATGAAAATTATGTTGATGATGATGATCATTAGAACGTGTATGTGTACTAGATAGAAAATGAACAAAGAAAAGAAAGTATTGAAAATAAAAAGAAAAAAAAAACATGAAGTAATACCCTAGTTTTCGAGTATTTCGTGGTCGTTCTGATTGTGTTGATAACATACTAACTGAACTTATTTTTGAAACAGTTGATAATTCTGATCCATCAGAATCTACATCATCACCAGGAGTTTCAGATGAATCTATAAAATAGAAAAAAACAATGATAGAAATGTTAAATACTAAGTAATACAAAAGTCATTTGATAGTCTTCGTTTACGAATAACTTCTTTTTTTTTTGATAGGAATATTGTAGAGAGCTACACCTTTGATTCTTCAAAATTTCGGTTGATAATTTAGAATAGTCAATCAGTAGCTTTTAGAAATATACTGATAGCTCTATGAAGATGGTACACAAGTTCAATACTAAGAAATGCACGACATTTACGTTCTCACGAATTATATCTTCATCATCTAGCACTGCGTCTTCAATTTTTAAATGGATCATAAAACATTTCTTATAATTAACCTTGAATAGAATCTTCATATAGGAGTATCAAATCATTGTCAAAGCCCAACAACCGACACATAGTTGAATGACACATGAAACTAATATCGTACCCAGAAAAACCTTGCAGAGAAGACAATTGATTCTCCCTGTCTCTCTCCCGAGAAAAAGCTAGACTATTGAATTTTTTACAATATGTTCGCACAATTTTCATGTACTTGAGCTGAAAAGCCCAAATTGACCCAAGCTATGAGATAAATTTCTATTATAGAGATGGTGCTGCCAGAATTTTTATTAGTATAATATATTCTTCAGCTGTTTTCTTCTCGATTAATTTGCATGCTTTCTAATAAATAATTCAAATCTGTTTTGAAAACAATCTTCGCAAATATTTATAGCTGAAACCGAAAATTGTAAAACATTTATGAATATTGCACGGAAGTGCAAACAAACATACAACATAGATTATATCAAATATATATATATATATATAATACATATAATCATAAGTATTTTTCGTCTACTGTATTATTTGCATACAATAGTATTGATCTAATATTATTTTTATAAAGCAAACACTTATCAAAAATAATGAATATAATTATACATTTTCTTCTTTTTTTTTTAATGTACAGAATGATTATTTAAGATGAAGATAAATAATATTTGTCCTACATATCGAAATAAAGTTTTATCAAAATTAAATAGGTTCTTTTCTTTTTTTGTTTCTAAGTAAAACTTCATCCTTAACTAGAGATCACTATATTTGTTTCTATCAAAAAAAGTTATCCACATATTAAATTTTCTTTTTTACCTCTTTTTTTAATATTTTTTCTATATCTTTCTTCAAAAGATTTTAATTTTGCTTTTTCCATATCTAATCGAGATTGTCCTGATGTTGTTGTTGTTGTACGTCTTGTTAATGATGGATTAAGATATGGTGGATTAGGTGCACTCTTATCTCGTATAATTGGTATTCGTGGTCGTGAAGGTGTTTTTTCTTTTAATAAACCTGAATTTATTGTTGTTGTTGTTGTTGTTGTTGATGATGGTTTTTCTGTTAAATTTGTCATTGAATCATATGGTTTTATTGATATTGATGTTTGATGAATATGTGGTGAATCAGTATCAATTGATTTACTTGATTGAAATGATGAACGTTGAGAAGATATTGTAGATATTTTATTTATTGGACGATTAGATTCATTATTAAATATTTGTATACGATCTTCATACATTTGTCGTTTTTCATTTATATTTGTTTCATTTAATGTACGTTGTTGTTGTTGTTGTTGTTGCATATGAAGACGTAATTTTAATTGTGTAGCTTTTTGTATTAAATCTTGAGAAACTATTAACAAAAAAATAAAATAAAAATAAAGTTTATTTTATTTTGTATTTTAATCAAAATAAACCTTTTTCTCTATTTGCATGTAATTGAGCTGCTGGAATATTTGGCAATTGTCTTTTACGATTACTTGTTGTTATACTAGAAATAAATCATTGATATAGAAAAAAAAAGAAAACATGATTAATTAGATCATTTTTTACGTGTCAATCATTGTTGGTAATATTTCATTATTGGCATTGATTGTTGGAAGTATTCGATTGAATGATGGTTCTAAAGATAATAATTTATGATAATTTATCGACAAAAAAAAAAAAAAAAGTAAAATAAATCAAACCATGTTGTTCTATTTCAGATGTATCACTATCATTTAATTGAAAATTTTTTGTTTGTAATAATGAATATTTTGATATTAAATTATACCATTCTGGTTGTCCATTAAGATTTAATTTTTTATCATTTAATGAAATATATATCTAAAAAAAAAAAAAAAGAATTTATTTTATTTTATTTTTATTTAAGAAGATCTTTACTTCGCCAAGTATTTCTTGATTACGATCAAGATCAATTAATTTAATCCATAAAGATAAATTATCAAGTGTATCAATATCAAAAAATATTATACGTTGATTCCATGTACATATACCAGATGAACATGTTTGAGGTTTTGTACATTTTTGTTCTTTAGATCTAAATTAAAAATACAGAATGTTCTAGTGTTTAAATTGAGAAATAGAGAATAAACTTCTTTTTTTTTTTGTTTTTTTCGTACTCTGTATTCTTTTACTGTCGAGGGAATCTCGTTATGTGTCAAATCGCTTTTCAATCGAAATAATGTTCATTTGATGAGAATATAATAGAAAAAGATAGAACGGTTTGACATTCCAGGCCTTTATTCTTGACATATTGAAGTTTTACTGGATTTTTTTTTTCTTCTCACTCAGGTCATATGGAAAATCGATTTACAAACTGCAAACTTTGTATGAAGCAAAAAGAAAAACAAATTCTTAATGAGATTAGTTGATTGTGTATGTTTCAGGTTTTCTGGTATATTCTTTTCACAATGAACAAAATTTATGCTTACACATGAAAGAATCTTGAATATTAATATATGGAGATAGGGTGATTTAGTACATCTTTAAAGAGTAAAATAATCGTCATATGAAACTTTCCAATTGAAGACTAGAATTGATTTCAATCGGTACATTTCTATGAAAGATTATAGTCGTTAAAAATCTCATATTATCTTTTCCAGGTCATGTTATTACATTATAGAAATATATGAAAAAGTAGAGCAATCAAAGATTTATAATTAGAAGCATATTTGAAAAAAACCTGGAAACTATGACATGTTTACTCATCAATTGACTAAGTCTATGTTTTGTTTATTATGTTAATTTTCTTTTTTTGCATAAATCGATGATTTCTATTTTTATTTCATACTATAAAATACAAGTAATGCGTCTCTATTTTATTTCTATAAAAAGGACATTACTTAGAAACCTTTCAATTTAAAACGAACAATTATGATAATTTATTTTCAAATTTTTTTAAATATATTCGTACTAAGATAATCCAAAATTAAAACTATTTGAAATTTTTATTTTCTAGAAAACCTACAATGAATCTCGTCCATATTGAATAGATAATTGACAAGCAAATGATCCTTGTTGTATAATTAAATCTCTAGCATCATGTACAATAACAATAAATTCTCTTCGATGAATATTATATTGAAATGAAAGCTAAAATAAAATTAATACAAAATATTCAAATTCATTTGATGAATTTTCTTGTAATACTTGTAATCGAATATAATGTTCAATTTTCTTTGTTGTTGTATCATGTTCTAAATAAAATATTATGTATATATATTATATTTTATATATTACATTTACATTTAGGAAAAAAAAAATATATATAACTATTTATCGAGATAAAAAAGAATGTTGATGAGATATATTCATATCAGTTGAAGAATTATGTCGAGTAGAAAAACAATGTAAACAACAAGAAAATATATTATATTTAAATATTGATGTTTGATTAGAAGTAGAAAATTCTCGTGTTAAATGTGTATTACTATCAATTGTTGATGATGATGCATTTTGTGCTATTGTATTTGATGATGAATTTATTTTAATTGTTGAACGTTTAAATGAAAAACGTGAATAAAAATTTTGAAATGATTCTGTTAAACGTTGACTAGTTGGAAATGATAATTTTCTTTTATTATTATTTAAATCTGTTATTTTTTCTAATGTATTAATTCGTTGAATACCAGAATAATCATCAATTATATCTAATTTTGATAAACTTAAATCAGATTCTGATGAATTTTGTCTTTCAAATGGTGATGATGGTGGTGAAATACATGATGTTGGTGGTAGTGATGGTGATTGTGTTAATGAAGATATAGGTGGTGGAAAATTTTCAATTGGAATTTTTGTTTTAGATATATTTGAAATTTTTTTTGATAAACGTATTAATACATTTGGTCGTTGTATATTTTGTTTTTCTTGATTTTTTATTGATGATTCAACGAAAATTACACTATTATCATTAATACAACCATTGTCATTTTTAAACACGATATTTTCAAAGACAACCATTCGTGTTGATGGTTGCTTTGTCAATGTCATTGAGCTCGACGTTTGTCGTAATGAACACTCCGATAAGAAAAGGCGTCTTATACTATGAGTAAGAATAGTGACTATTTTCTTCTTTTTCTTGTTTCTCCTAACTCTGATGGGAGCCAAACACTGCCGTTATAAAAGAAAAGAAGAGAAGAAAAAGATTTAGTATTCAAGCGGCAAAAGGAGGCGAGAGATGAGAAAAGAACGAGTATTTGTCCAAGTTGTTATTCATCGTCGTTCTTCTCCTCCTTCGTCATTCTTTCCGTACAGTTCATTACAATTTTTTTTCTTCTTCTTCTTTTTTTGTATATGCTGATGAAGGAAGGAAGCAAATACGACAGTGGCGACAATAGTGACAGACAATTAAATAGACAACATGAAATGCTTACTACTAATTATTAAAATAGGTTATATAAAATCTAATTTTACCTTGTGATGATATTGTCGAAATAGGAAGAGTTGTTAATGATTGTTCATTACTTGACAATGTTGAATATCTATAAAAATAAATTAATAATAATAATAATTTTCAAAAAAACAAAACAAAATAAAAAAAAAGAAGAAGAAAATTCCATTGAGATTTCAAAATCTCATGAGAATAAAATAAATTGTAAAGGCTGTCGGTTGCATGTAACATACAAAAGAGAAAAAAGAAAACACAAAGAAAAATTACAAATTTTTACCTGATCGGTCTTTTAACAATCATATGAATATCTGGTGATTGCATGGAATTTTGAGATATTATTTGAAAAACATCATTATAATTTAAATTAGTTAATTTTTTTCCATTCCATTCAAGAACTTGATCACCTTTAATTAAAACAAAAAATAACCAAAAACAATTTGTAACATCTTTGCTTTTTGTTTTTTTTTTCTTCAAACATACCTATTTGTAATTGTCCACAATTATCAGCTATACTACCGGGTGTAACTTTAGTTATTTCAGCAATCATTGTAGCACTTCCATCATCATTTTCTTGACAAATACCACCTTGAATTTTCAAACCTATAGAAAACAAAAATTTCTTTGCTCTTTTTTTTTAATTATTATTCAAACAAACCTAATGCAGTAAATATATCTCCTTTCATAAGTTTGCCTTGTTCATATTCATCACGTATTGCTAATGTCCAAGTATTATTCTTAAGATGAACATAACCAATTTGTTCTGTACGATTTTCATTTAAACGCCAAGTTGTTGTTGGCTAAAAAAATAATTGTAAAAATATGTTTTTGGTTTTTTTTTGTTTTTCTTCGATTAATAATTAACATGTATAGCAATAAGAATTTTACGAAAGATAAGACAACAAATAAAAACAATACAACATCAAATGCCATAAATATTGATTATCATTTTAAAAAAAGAAACCTGTTTCGATGGATCAATTGATAAAACATTAAGTATTGTACTTGAACTAGCTGTATCAATTCCTGAATCTTTTAATGTTATTTCATGTCCAAGATCTTTATCTTCAAATGAATGATATTGAAATTCTTTTAAAGGTACTTGTGAATTATGTGTTGAACGTGATAATGGTAATGATGAAAGAATATCTTCATCATTTTTATTCACTAGACAAATAAGGATATACATAAATACATACAAAACGATAAGAATCACTACAACTAGAATCAGAAGAAGATGAAAAGCAAATGATAATATAAGGAAAAAGGAAATATATTGGATATATATGTGTGCATGCATTTAAAATAAATAATATAATACACACACACAAAAAAAAAAAACAAAAGACTAATAACAAAATTATTATAAATGCACCGTTGTTAAAAAATTTTCTAATTTAGCTGCTAGAATTTCTTCTTTTTGCCAATTATCATTTGCCAACATAGTTCCTAGAAAATGTTTTGCTGATGATTTTTTTTTTCAAAAGCTTCTCAAAGAATTTTGTCTTCTTCTTCTTCTTCTTCTAGATGTAGGATTCATTTCAAGAAGTTCTAATGCTTACCACGTGGTACAGATTCATTATCATCATTAACTGAAGCTGAATCTGGTGATGAAACAGCACCGTCATCTTGTTCTGAACTTGAATCTTCTTTTGATTCTTTTTGTTGTTGACGTCTAATATGTGTCGTTGGAAGTATTCGTTTACGTTGTTGTATATTATTTGGATTTATTTTTTTATTAGCACCATTTTTATTTATTTTAATATCTTCATCTTCTTTTTCATTTGTATCAAATGGTTGTGATAATATATAATCTGATACATATTGTTTTGATATATTTTTTGTATTTTCATCATTAATATTATTTGTATTAATTGATGTTGTTATTAATTGTGATACAGAACTTGTTGTTGGAATTAATTTTCGTGAAGAAAAATAACTTTCTTGTTTCTGACGACATATATTACAAAGCCAAAATGTCTATATAAAAAAAAAATAATTTATTTTAATATAAACGAAAAGAAAACAAAAAAAACCTTATTATATTGATGTCCTTTTAGTCGTACACCACATCGTACACAAAGACGTTTTTTACATATTGAACATTGACGTGCTGATCGTTCATCAACAAATTTTGTTTTTTTACATATTTCACAACAAACACCTGATTCATTTGAAAAACTTCCATGAGGATGTGTTTTAGTCTGTTGTGAATATCGTCGTCCAGCCATTGCAACTGGAGCTGAATAATCATCCATACGTGATCTTAAAATAAATAAATGTAAATATTTTATTATATTTTGTTTGATTTATTTTTTTACTGTAAAGCCAATGCATCTCGTTCTTCTTCAGCTTTTTGTCGATTAATAACAGCTTCAATTATTTTTCTTTCATCTTCAGTTAAATGACTTAAATCAGGTGTTATATCCATTTGAATTTAGAATTTTTCTAATAAATAATAATAGACATCCATCTTTTTAAGGAGCCTAGAAAAATAAATATAAATATGATTATTTTAAAAATTTCATAGAAATTCTTTTGTTTCTCTCTGTCTTACCGTAGCCCCGTTGGATTAATAGGGCAATTGTGTTCGATGCCAGTGTGACAGTTAAATATTTGTTATTGTTATTGTTGTTGTTGTTGTTTTTTCGTCTTCAAATTAGCTCCTATTCTCCAATTTAGGACACCATGTGATCTAAAACAAAATGCAAAGAAGACAACAACTTTGTTGAATACTAGTTAAATCTCCGGAGATCTGCAATCAGTATGTATTTGACATTGAAAGTGCAAAGGCTTCACTAGCCATGCTCAGCGCTCCGCTTCCTGTTCTTGTCTTTGCCTTTGCGTTCGCCCGCTCGTTTGTTGCATGCTATCCTTATTTTGATTGGTTCAAGAAACCTGATATTGTACCATCATAAGATTTTTTTCGCCTCCTTTATTATTTATAATTTATTTATATGAAAAACAATCATTTATTAAATAAATTTAATTCTTGAAAAATTGTTTTTAATTTTCATAAGAATTTTTTCTTTATTTTAATTATATTGTATCTATGACAACTAATAGTTTAATGGTAAGAGAATTATTTTTTGTTGTTACTGTTATTCTAATAATCAAAACATGTCGGCTCGAGTGGATAGAAGTCAAAGTAAAAAAAGAAGTACATCGGCATTAGCTGGTGATCCATATTGTGAATTAGCTCGCCGTAAACATTTTGATGAAGAATTAGAAGCGATTCGTGCTCGTTCACGTTCCATATGGTCAAGACCTGATACATCATTAACGACTCATAGTCATTATTATGCTGATCCGGAACAAACTGAACGTACTTTATCAAGACCAACATCAGCTGGTCGACATCATAATCCACATCCGAAATTGTAAATAATTTTTATTCATGAACTTTTTTGTTTTCATCTATATGCATATATTATTTTAATTTTAGAGTTTTTATGAGAACAGGAATGAGAGAAATTCCAAATGCTTATGGTTCACCACCAGCTCGTCTGACGTCACGCGAGCGTAATTTTATTATATAAAAAAAAATATAACAATAACAACATTCTATATATATTTTTTTTTTCAAAGAAATAATTCATAAAAAGCCAATAGTTCCTGATTATTTGGAACAATTTCAAGATTTAACACCTTTTGAACGACAAGGTGCTAATGCTTTTTTAAAATTGGCTAATAATGATTCAAAAATGAATGTTGTACAAGCAATTAAAGATTATCGTACTTTAATGACAAATGAATATGAATGTCCACCGATTGGCGTAAGAAAATTTTCAAAATATTTTCAATTATGTCATGTAATTTATAGGCATCAACAATTTGTCGACAAGATGGAAGTCGAACTGAATATTATCCATCTATGGATCGATTTCGTCAAGCAATAAGAAATGATAAAGGTATTTAATAAATTCTAATGATAATTTTTGTTTTTGTTTTTTTTTTGCAAGTACTAAACCATTTATATATGATATATATGAGAACAAAAGAATTATATCATGAAGTCAGTCAGATAATATGTCTCTTGAGATTTCCTCATTTCTTTTGAATACGGAAATTAATACTTCCGATTTTTCTATATATTATAGAAACGAACTATATATTTCTTTTTTTGTTTTTTTTTTGTATTCTTTATAGAATTCCATGCTATTAATAAAGCTCTTGAAAATCCTGAAACTGAAATCAAAATAACAAATACTGATCAATCTTTACAAGAACAACAACAAGCTATTCTTACACGCAATGTTCGTGATCCAAATCGACCTCAAGTTCATTTTCAACGTCGTAGTCATAGTCATCCAAAATGTCCATGGCCAATAGCACGTCGACCATATCGTGGTGATTATTCTATTCATATGGATTGGCATCCACGTTTACCTCATCATCGTTTAACATGTCTATGTTAATAAGATTTTTTTTACATATATCATCATAGATACATAGTTGAATATTATATTTTTGAAATAAATCTTTTAATTCTATACTTGATAAAATATTAAATTCATATTGTCGTTCAATTGATTGAGAAAATTCATCTGTTTGTCCTATACCACAACCACCTATATATGGATTACTTGGATAACCAGGATGACACATAAATTCAATTAAAATACATTTATTTTTTTCATTAGAAATATTTTTAAATAATTGAAAACATTTTTCAATATTATTCAATGTAAATTCTTTACCCATAATTGTTATACCAAAAAAATATTTTGTATATTTTAATGAATATTTATTAAAAATTTTCATAGCTAATTTTGTTTGATAAATTATATTTTTATAAAATAAATTATCTATATCATAATTTATTATCATTTGATCATAAGGTGTACGTATATATTTTATTTCATATTGTTTAGCTATTTGTGCTATAATTTCAACAATCATTGGATGTATATGTATATGTTGATGTCCATCAATATGTATTGGTAATTGATTATTTGTTAATTCTTTATATTTATTTAATTGATTTATTAATTCATATTCAATATGTTTTTCTTCTATATTACCTTGATCTAATTCATAACGTAAACCAAATTTTCCATGCATTATACCATTTGAATTAACTAAAGATTTTATTTTTAATAAATCATTTGTTATAGGTCGTCCTTCAGTTAAATTAAAATGTATACCCATTGGAAGATTATATTGTTTTGCATATAAACATGCTTGATAAGTATTATCACCATTAACAAGAAGACTTGTTGATGATATTGATTTTTGTTTAAATAAATCAATAATCGCTTTATCTCGTTTTGGACAATAACCAAAATCATCTGCATTTATAATCATATACATTATATTATTTGATGCTGACATTGAGAAAAAAAAATGAAAAAGAAAACAGCTGGTGCAAGTCAATAGAAAAAAAAGAAAAAGAAATTGATTTCAATCAGGTCGCTAAGATAAAAACGTTATTTTTGTTTTGATAGTTTAATTCATTTTCATTTGAAATGTTTTTATTCAATCGATGTTTTATTGTACATTGAAATTTTTCAGATCAAACAATACTCTTAGTAGATCTTGTAGAATTTTTTGCAACGTTGTACCTGAACAGAAATGGTGGATGCCTCACAATAGTTAAAATTTTTCTTGAAGCTCAATTAAAGACTTTCAATTTTCATTCCGCTAAAAACAGAGACAAAACAATGTATCTGTTATTTTATTAAGAGAAATTAGAGCAGCAAAAAGAAAAAAAAGTGAACAGACAACTGATGAAGAAAATAATAAAGAAGATTCCGATGAAGATGAATGGATTTGTTTTTATTGTTGATTATTTGAAGCAGATAGTTTTTGTTGTTCATCTTGATAGATTAATCTGACTTGTTTGAGTGACTATTAACTCAACATATATCAATTATTCGAAATAGAAGAATCGAAAGTCAAAAATATTTCGTATCTTAATTCATAGTCTCCACATTGTCGCGATGTCATCTAGTTTTCAAATTAATTTCATCTATTACAGTCGCAGGATCAGTTGATAATAGATAATAAATTAGAGAGATAAGGAAATGATCAATAAATATCAATCTTTGCAAAACATGCTCACAACGATTATTCAAGATTTCGTAGTAGTGAACTTTGTCATATCGACTAATAATTATAGTTTAGTCTTCTTATTCGACTGGAAAACTAATTATTATTAAAAGCTTTTTATTATTTATTTTATTGATTTAGTCAGAACAAAAATTAGATTACAACAGAGAAAAATAAATATAAAAATCCTTGTAATGCACTAATGTTTCTTGAATAATTAACTTTTTTTATTTTAACTCAATTGAGTCGTGTTGCATCTCGTGTGAAATTTTCTATTACGATTATTAATTGATTTCTAATTTAGTTAAACAAGGTAGATATCTATGTTCAGATCAGCACCAGGATTTCTAATCTGTAAAATAACACAAAGCGATTTTATCCTTGAAATTAAAGAGTTTAAGTTCAACTAGATTAGGATAATTCATAGCAAGAAGAATACGTTCTATTGGTCCTGATTCAAGAATAAGAGTTTTAATATTGTGACCAATTTTTGGCACTATATTAATGCAGAAACAATCATGTATTGAATCAGAAAATCGACAAAATATCATCAATTGACGTTATTAATACAAAATTGAGAGTCTCAGTAAATGTTTTTTCCTTGTACTCTCATACCATGTCGTTGATTATCAACACCGAATAATGAATAGAAAAAATTCATATTATGAAGTTTCTTTAAAATGATTAATAATATTTCGTTAGGTAGATCAAGAAATCTAATATTTGATTGATTCATATTAATTGTGACTGATGCTTTGCTTAGAATGAATAGAATATATATATCTGTTCTTTGTTCGTTTACACCATTGTCATCATTGAGTAAAATGAACGGCTGATCCCACCGGAAAAAATATAGTGGATGAATGGTCCAATGAATTCAGAGCAGGGGCGTAGCCAGAGATGCACACGGTATCCGAGTACCCCTCTTGGCCAAAAAACACCTGAAGGAGATACAGGTAAAAAATTTTGCAAGAAACAAAAATTTATTTTGCTGCTGGTGTGCACTCTTCCATAATAAGTCTAGCAGTCCTCTTAGAAAATTCCTGGCTACGCCATTGATTCATAGATGGACATTTATTGTTCTTTCATTTATCTCTGGTATTATTATGATCGATAGGGTCTTGTTCAGAGAAAAGAATGACATAATATAATTATTTATTTTGTTATAGATCATCTCTTTCAGTTTTATTTAACGTCCTGAGATCAAAATAAAATGAGATTATTTGTTTATTTTTTGAATACTTATTACGCTTCTGGTTTTTGTCTTTACTATGAATACAGAATAAATATACATAAACTTTTTTAGTTTATTAAATTTTATTCGACTTAATGAATTAATCAAGACTGGCAAAGAACAATGGCGTTTGCGATAATTTTTTC